TGGGAAGAAAGTCTGTACTTGATTCAGTAAGCAGTGGGCAAGCCTTTTGAGCAGTCTTGAAATGCCCTCAAACTGGCTAGGATGAGTTGGCAGATGAGTGGTTAGAAGTTGGGAGAACACTATAAAGAACAAGATAAAAGGTACCTTTTTGAAAATTTTCTTTGGGAAATTTTAATTTAGATCTCTGGCAAGAAACCTCGTATCTGCTGCCATCAAAAACAAACAAAAAAAGGCTGTAACAATTCATTTCTAGAAGATGGTAGTAAGATCCTCATCTCATTAAATTTAAAATATTTATTAAGCTCTCTGCTCTTTAAGGACTTGGAAGACAGTTCTATTTTGGAGGGTCTCCTGTTTGTGGGATGGTTCCTCATGAGCCCCACTGTGGGTACAGAAATTCATCCTGTCATTTAGTAAATACTTACTGAGGACTTACTGTATGCCAAAAATTGATGTAGGCATGTGGGAGTGTCTTCAAGGAGCTTACATTTGAGGAGGGGGAGGATGTTAGAGATGGTAAGTGCTATGGAGAAAAAGCAGAGCAGAAACAGTGATGTAGGAAAGTACTATCCTTTTCTTCAGATGACTAGCTGGGAATGGGCAGGAAAATTAGCTCAGGGCATTACTAATAAGGATCAGCCTGAATGGTCTTTTATTTCCTTTGACCAGTCAGCTCTTTCTAGCTCTGTCTGTCTCCTTGAAACTTCTGTTTTTTCCGTCTTTCAGTTTTTCACCTTCTGGTACCTTCTGTCTTTCAGGTCACAGCTGACATACTGCCTTACCAAAAAGGCCGGGCCATTAAATTTTTTAAAAAGAGCCCCTTACCTCATGGTCCTTGTAACTAATTTGTCTGTTTTGTGTTCACTAGTCTAAAGCCTATTTTGTGTTAAATGGGAGGTGCCATGATAACTCTCTCTGGTTCTCGTTTGTGCCTTGCCCTGGCATGTAGTAGGTGTTGAATGAATGAACAAATGAAAGAGAAAAAGGCAGGGAATCTAAATGGAGGTGCCTTTTCCTATCATTCTAACAAATTGGCTTAATTTCTTAAAATTAAGTTCTTCACATTGGTTGAAGAAATTGGGTAATTGTTTTATAAGGAAACTTCAGTATTTGTTGCATATAGACACCTACATTGCCCTAGGGCAGTACTGATGAGTCGTAGTAATTGATGGAAAGAAATGAACATATTAGGAGATGTGGATCCAGCTAGTACAGAGTTTCAAATAGAATAAAAATTCCAATCTTTACAAAATTGAAAAAGGAATATATTACCTAGTGTCTCAAAATGGATTTTTAAAAATCATAATTTTTAAGAATAATAACATTATATGTGCAGTTTTGGATGGATTTGATCATTTTCTTTTTCTTTTTTTTTTTAAGATTTTATTTATTTATTTGACAGACAGAGATCACAAGTAGGCAGAGAGGTAGGCAGAGAATGAGAGAGGAAGAAGCAGGCTTCCTGCTGAGCAGAGAGCCTGATGTGGGGCTCCATCCCAGGACCCTGGGATCATGACCTGAGCCGAAGGCAGAGGCTTTATTTAACCCACTGAGCCAACCAGGCACCCTGATTTGATCATTTTCTTAAACTTCTCTTATATACTGTATTTGAATTGACTTTTTTTTTAATTGACTTTTAAATTTAACATTGTGCTAGATTTGCCTTATCATATTAGCAATATATTTATAAATCTATAGTATGGAAATGTATCTTTTGGTAAGTGACTTGTAAACCATCAATTTCTTAAACCTCCATAAATTTCTAGCACCTTAATGAGAATAAATGAAATTCTGATTCACTAAGGATGCTTTAGAAATAATAGCAGTGATGCCCTTCATGTCTGTCATAGCTGATCAATGATACTGATAAAAACAAGAACATCCAGTATTTACTGAGCGCTGAACTAAGCAATTTGCAATAGGCTTTTCATATGCAGTAATTTCTGCTTGTAGCTATGGAATTTGAGGTACAGAATGGTCAATGGGGAACCTGTACAAGGTCATACATCAGTGAGTCACTGAGCAAGGATTTGGAGCCAGCAGGACAGTTCCACAGCCCACATTGTTAACGACCATGGCATGCTGCGAATTCTTTGTGCTGCCATTCCTTTACTCATTTCCTTACCCTTGTGTATTACACTGTTGAAGGGACTCTGAGTAATTCCTATAGGAATTAGTTTAATCAATAAAGATAACTTTAAGCTTCCTGAGAATCTTCTAGAACCCCTCAATAGGAAAGTATACTACTAAATGAAAACAGTAGGGCACATACGGGTTTTTTTTTTTAATTTTTAAGATGTATTTGCTCATTTGAGAGAGAGAGAGAGAGAGGATGTGATGGGGGGAAGGGAGGAGAATGAGAGAAAGAGGATTTCAAGCACACTCCTACTGAGTGTGCAGCCTGAGGCAGGGCTAGATCCCACCACCCTGAGATCATGACCTGAGCAGAAATCACGAGTCAGATGCTTAACTGACTGAGTCACCCAGGTGCTCCTAGGGTCCTTGTTTTCATAATCCAGCTTTGTAATTTCTATACTTGAAAAAATATTTTTTAGAACATAAATCCTCTTTTTTCTTGTCTCTCATTTTGCATGGTGACTAAAAAAATGTTCATTAAAAAAAACCCCTCTATCTGTGGTGTTTATAGTGGAATTATTTTGTTACCTTTATTACTTTTGGTATATTTATCTCTAATGGTAACATTGGGATCAAAGAGGGAAAATAGAGAACAAAATTCAGGAAAGCAACCTCCTAAATGGAAGAAGATATTTGCAAATAATATATCTGATGGGGGATTAATATCCAAAATATATAAAGAACTTATACAACTCAATACCAAAAAACACAAATAATCCAATTAAAAAATGGATGAGGACCTGAACAGACATTTTTCCAAAGAGAAATACATATGGCGGACACATGAAAAGATGTACCATGTCACTAATCATCAGGGAAATGGGAATCAAATACATAATGAGATATCACCTCACATTTGTCAGAATAACTAAAATTAAAAAGACAAGCGTTGGTAAGGATGTGGAGAAAAGGGGACCCTTGTGCACTGGGAATGTAAATTGGCACAACTATTGTGGAAAACAGTATGGACGTTCTTCAAAAAATTAAAAATAGAATTGTCATATGATCTAGGAATTCTATTACTGGCTATTTACTCCCCCAAAATGAAAAAAACACTAATTTGACAAGATATATGCACCCCTATATTCACTGCAGCATTATTTACAATATCCAAGATATGAAAGCAATTAAAGTATCCATTAATAGATGAATGGGTAAAGAAGATGTGTGTGTGTGTGTGTGTGTGTGTGTGTGTGTAGGTGTATAAAGGACACATATAAAGGAATATTACTGAGCCATAAAAGAATGAAATCTTGCCATTTGCAATGACATGGATGGAGAGTATTCTCTATCAGAATAGAGAGTATTCTGCTAAGTGAAATAAGTCAGTCAGAGAAAGGACAAATACCATATGATTTCACTCATATGTAGAATTTAAGAAACAAACAAGCAACAGGGGGGAAAAAGACAGGGAGAGGCAAACCAAGAAACAGACTCTTAACTAAAGAGAACAAACTGATGGTTACCAAAGAGGGGGTGGGTGGGGGGTGGGGGAAACGATGATGGGGGTGATTAAGGAGGGTGCTTGTCATGATGAGCACTGGGTGTTGTATGGAAGCATTGAATCACTATACTGTACACCTGCAACTAACATGCTCTATTTGTTAACTAACTGTAATTTAAATAAAAACTTAAAAAAAGGGGCGCCTGGGTGGCTCAGTGGGTTAATCCTCTGCCTTCAGCTCAGGTCATGATCCCAGGGTCCTGGGATCGAGCCCCGCATCGGGCTCTCTGCTCAGCGGGAAGCCTGCTTCCTTCTCTCTCTCTGCCTGCCTACTTGTGATCTCTCTGTCAAATAAATAAATAAAATCTTTAAAAAAAAAAAAACTTAAAAAAAAAAAGATGATGAAGATCTGGTATATATATACAATGGAATATTATCCAGCTATAAAAAAGAATGAAATCTTGCTATTTATGATAACATGGATGCGTCTAGAGTACTATGCTACATGAAACAAGTCAGAGAAGAACAAATACCGTATGCTTTCATGTGTATGTGGAATCTAAAAAGTAAAAAAAAACAAATGAACAAAAAACCAGACTCATAAACAGAGGGAACAAACTGGTGGTTGTGGGGTTGGGGGGGGTGCGGCAGATGAGAGAAATAGATAAAGGGGATTATGAGGTACAAACTTCCAGTTGTAAAATACCTAAGTCACAGAGATAAAAAGTAGAACAAAGGGAATAGAGTAAATAATATTTTAATAATATCAGATGGTGACTACACTTATCATGGCGAGCATTTCATAATGTACATAACTGTTGAATCACTATGTTATATACCTAAAACTAATGTAACATTGTACGTCAGCTAAACTTCAATAATAAAAATTAAGAAAAAAAATTTAAAAAGAAAGCTATTTCTAAAGTTTGGTTGCTTCTAAATTTTTGTTGACCTGAATCACTTAACTTTATGGACTTCTTGTCTAAAGCAGAGGTAGTGATATAAAGTCCTCAGTTCAAGTTACATCACGAAATTTGCTACCAACATTTGTGATTTTCTTCCCTTCTCCACTTTAGTGTTTCATATTCTATAACTGTTAAGTTCTAGAAAGAGAAAATTCAGAAGAGGTCCTTTTAGAAAAGCACAATTAAACTGATGAGGAAAATATGAGAAGGTACCCAGAAAGGAAGATTAATAGTAATCCTTTCACCATTGTGTTTAAAGCAGAATTTCAGATAGAACATAATCGTGCACCTGTACCAAACTGCCTTGAGATATACAGAAGGGAGGGGACTTCCTTTTAAAGAGGAGGGGAGATCACAGTTACCCAAAGTGAATACTAGAGTAAGAAAGCCAACAGTGTAAGTTGTGTTTCAAATCCTCTGTCCCTGTACATTAAACTTTTCTTGTTTGATTTCAGAATGAAGAGAAAGTTCTATTCTTGGGATGAATGTATGAACTTGAGAGAAGTTAAGGTAAGATCCTACAGGTGTAAAGAACCCTAGGAGGCCTTTGCTGTGCCTCACCCTGTCTCATTTATGAGGACGGTAGCTAAAGGGATTGTTCTGTTCTTTGTAGGAAACGTTCCAAAGATAATTGTATTTCTTATGTTTTTTTCTTTATCTTCCTAAGTAATTTCTCATTTCTTACCCAAATGTCAGTAGAGGACAACAGAAAAAACTATACACTCATATTTCAATGTATACTCACTTTTAAAAGAGTGTTTTAATTCATGTTATCAAAGGAAAGACAACTTTTAATTACTACATACCATTTCTATTTTATGCTGTATATTTTTGTATATTGTATATGCATACATTTCTGGATACCTTTGTATGGAACTTCACATAGTTAAGTCAGAAAAAACTTAGGTCTAGTGAATAGACTGAGGAAAAAAAGTGACAGATTGAAATGTTTAGCAGGTATTATTGGCTTGGTTTCTTTCTGTACTTACATTCATTACTTAAAACAATTACTGCTTACTTTAAAATTGGTATTCTAAGATTTTCTATAGACATTAAGACTTAATGTTCTATAGACATTAAGACTTAATTCACTCATGAATGCAGAAGAAATGGAAGATTACTTAAGGTAATTATCATAGAGATTGATGAGATTTTGCCAACTTCAATAACTTTGTTTTAAGAATTTTAATGCTGATTTGCTGTGTTACAGTCTCTGAAGAAACTCAATCATGCCAATGTGATTAAACTTAAAGAAGTTATCAGAGAAAATGACCATCTCTATTTTATATTTGAATATATGAAAGAAAACCTCTATCAATTAATGAAAGACAGGTATGTCTTTATTTTATAAAAACTATAATGTTTTCCCTGTTATCTCCTCTGTGAGTTCCTTGGATCCCTTCAATATGTTACACTTAACAGTGTACAGATTTATCACCCCAAGAGGTGGATGTAAATTAATTAGCTGTTACCTTTATAACCTTGAAGAAGAATGAGCTATGACATAGTCACCATTTTTCTGATGTAAACACACATTATCTATCTATACTTTTGAAACAAAATCTATCTATAGTTTGGCTTATTGGTTTGTTTTTTTAAGTAGGCTCTATGCCCAGTGGAGCCCAACATGGGGCTTGAACTCATGACCCTGAGATGAAGATCTGAGCTGAGATCAAGAGTCAGACCCTTAAACCAAATGAGCCAATCAGGCACCCCCAAAATCTTTCTATAGTTTTAATACTAATAAAGCCAGATTGAACAAAATTGAGATTACCTTCATTGCTCTCGCAAGCAAATTGTGAAAGGTGAATGAAAAAAGGGAGGAAGGGAATGAGGCATTTTTCATGAAGGGATCGAATAAGTTTATTTGTTAGAATGTTTAAGTGAACAATAAAACTTAATGTGTTACCAATCTCAAAGAAATTCTCATTTTCATTTTTAAACCCATGAACAGAATCTCTAAAGAGAGAGAGCTTCAGGTATCTGCCTTAAGCTTGGGGAGGCTAATATTTTGGTGGTAACTGATGGTCACATGTGGGAGATTAATGACCATTTTACCTGCTTTTAAAGCCAGAGTTGTTCAACAGAAGATCCTAAAATACTTTAGAAATAAACTTCGCAGTAGAATGATGACTGCTTTCTCTGTATTTCTTTCATATACACATTATATACACACTCAAGGAAATCCTTAGGGATGGTGAGTGAAGTTTTCTTTAATCACATTTTTTCCTTCTTTCAAAAAATACTTACTGAATGCCTGTTAGGTTCCACAAGCTATCATTATAACATTAATAGTTAAAAGTAAAAATAATTTCTACCCCTCAAATCACTGTTTGTTTTTCTACAGTTCTTTCTGGCCCTTGGAACCAGTCATGCCTGTTTCTTTACATAGTTGCAATTTTAATGGTGATCATTTTTATTTGATTGATTCACTTATAAGCATTTTGTTGTGCTGATATATAATCTTCACAGTTACTATAGTTAGTATGTTCTGCTAAATGACTATAGCATGCTTCACTTATCTCTCTAAACTTCTTAAAAGAAATAACTGTTAGGAGAATAGATTGTAATTATAGTTTATAATATTGATGGAATTATTTTGTTGCCATTAAAGATGATAGTTATGAAAATTATGAAAATGCCCAAGTGGATAAAAAACAGAAATCAAAATTGTAATTATGCGACACTGATACTTAATATAAAAGTTATACATGTAAATAGATTAGGACTGGATTAGAATACTGAAAAATCTGAATAGTTTCTTAATCAGGTGATGGGCAATCTTAAATTTTTGGCTTCTAATAATTATGCTCTTTAAAATGTATGGAGTGGAGCATGTGGGTGGCTTAGTCAGCTAAGTGGCTGCCTTTGGCTCAGGTCATGATCCCGGGCTCCCTGCTGGATGGGCAGTCAGCTTCTCCCTCTCCCTGCTGCTCCCCCTGCTTGTTCTCTGTCTCTCTCTGTCAAAAAAATAAATAAAATCTTTAAAAACATAAAATAAATAAATAAAATGTATGGAGTGATAAACCTATGCGTGATATATTAAGATATATGTGTTGATGAAAAAGAAATTAAGTAAATATAAATATTTGAAATGTTATACTTTCATCTGATTTAAAAACTATATAAGGGGCACCTGGCTAGCTCAGTCAGTAGAGCTTGATCTCAGGGTTGTGAGTTAGAGCCCTACACTGGATGTAGAGATTACTTATATATGTGTGTGTGTGTGTGTGTGTGTGTTTTCCTAAAGATATATAGATATAGATATATAGATATAGATATAGATATAGATATCTATATCTGTATCTGTTATTGGAAGTGGTTAATGCAATAGTAAATGAACATTAAAAAGAATCAACTTTGGAACTTCATGATTCAATTCCAGATTTCTAAATTAAGTGGAACTAAAAATGATATTGTTTGAATATTATTTAATGTCAAAGGTATAAATTTAACAATTGTTAACAATTAACAATGGCACATGGTAAAGAGCTATCTGAGGTTAAGTGGTATTTTTACACCTTGTTTTTGGTAGCTTAACTTCCCGAACATTATTTTAAGGTTGAAGATTAATTTAAAAGTCTTTTTTATTCAAGTAAACTTTTTTTAAAAAGATTTTATTTATTTCATAGAGAGAGAGATCACAAGTAGGCAGGCAGAGAGAGAAGAGGAAGCAGAGAGCCCAATTCAGGGCTTGATCCCAGGACTCTGAGATTATGACCTCAAGGGAAGGCAGAGGCTTAACCCACTGAGCCATCCAGGCGCCCCTAAGTAAACTTTTTTATGTATTTTACCTGAAGGCCAATATATATAAATATTTTCTTCAATGCTATAACTGTAATTTACTGCATTCTTTTTATAAATTTAAATTGTTGGCAAGCATAAAAATATTTAGTTTCTTTTAAAATTTATTTTTTATGAAAATGAGTTTTAAAAATATTTCAATAATATGTGATCAATATTATTTTCAATTTTGATATAAGCCCAGAATTTATCTTTCTTGTCTGTTGTGTGTTCTTAGCCCATTTAGTGGGATATTTTAAAATATTACATAAGCATATAATATAGTTAACGATATTCAGAAATAAGCCATTTTCTACATGTTGAGAACATTTTGAATAAACACCCTAATCTAATCAATCATGCTGTAATAAAGATACTAAAAATGTTGAAATTATGATGAGCTTTCAAAGTTTAAAATGATTACTTCCAAAATAGCATGGTTTCAGGGTCAAAGAATTAATTCAGGGTCAAAAAATTAATGTGTCCATCACATTAATTTGTGGCATGTTAGCAATTAATGTTTGTCTTAATTTAGTCCCTATTAGGCTCTTACTTTAAACTTCATATAAATTCCATATAAAGCCCCTCTGTCCAGTACAGTAGCTACTAGTCACGTGGGACTCTTGAACTCTTAAAAATGTGGCTAGTCTGGATTGAGATGTGTTTTAAATGTAAAATTAAAATACACATCAGACTTTGAAAACTTGGTACAAAAAAAGGAAATTCATTAATTTTTATATTGATCACATGTTGAAATAATATCTGGTATATATTAAATAAAATATATTGTTAAAAATTAATTTCACATTTCATTTGTTTTTTTAATGTGGCTCCTAGAGAAAATTTAAATACGTAAGTGGTTCTCATTTGTGGCTCTTACTATATTTCCACTGGACAGTACCAGTAGACAATATAGAACTGAAGCAGTTAGGCCCCTAAAACTCTTAAAGCCTACATTTTATATATTTGCACACTTGGCGTATCTGACGGATATCAGTTTTCCAATTTACTTTACTCCTCTCAGGACAGTTTAAAATTTAGCTGAGTATCTGTGCAACACATCCATTATTGGATTTGAGTTTTTATCAAACATCAAAACAGATAAAAATTCTAATTGTCATGTTTTAAATGTATAACCTTAACAACTATAAAGCTATAAATCACACCCTTAACCATGATCATGAAACCAACAGGGGTTCCAAGGGAAAAGGGACATCTGCCTTCTTGTTTTGGTTGGTTGGTTAACAGAATTACATGACTGTTTATTTGTTCCTGTCTTTACAGAAACAAGCTGTTCCCTGAGTCAGTCATCAGAAATATTATGTATCAAATATTGCAGGGGCTGGCATTTATCCATAAACATGGTAAGTTTAAATTTCCTTTCCCTGCCTCTTTAGATTACTGTCAAGGTCATGCACAGAAATCATATATAATCTGTTAAATAGTGTTATACTGAGTAACTACAGATTTGGAGTATGGGGCTGCACACACTGACAATTTTATTTTAAAAAACCTAGAATTTCTATAATTCCATATAACACAGAATTTCTGTACTCTTTAACTATCTTCCTCTACAGCAGAATTTGTTAACATTTTGATCATCAGCCTTTGCTCTCAGTTATCATACATCCATCCCACAACCTCATTCCCCAATTTTACCATGGAAATGAAAACAAAACAAACAAAATGCCCTTCTTTTGGAAAAGACTGGAATGCTTTGATCACATGAACACTTATCAACATTTAAACAGTTTAAAGCATCAGTGCTATGGTATTTTATAGTTTTCTTAGTATTTACATTTAGTTTCTGTTCTTTGAGTGAAATTAAAGTGCTTGTTCTTGTTTCTATGAAATTCTATTTATGTGATCTTCATTTATAGTTTTTTTTGTATCTATCAAGCCAAAATAATTCATCCAAAAAGTTAACATGATTATTATGAAAATATTTGGCAAACATTTGTTTAGAATCCCTAGATGTTTAGATATTAAAGGGGAAGAGTTTGTGCCAGACTACCGCTATATTATGAACAGAGGCATTTGAAAATCCCCATCGTTAGCGTCTTTTCATGTTTCATCCCATATTTTGTATTTTCTCCTTTTCCCTTTAACTATTACAGGAAGTAATTTATTTTCTAAAAACTCTATCATTTGTTCCATATAACCATTGTCAGAATATTCCTGAACCCCACTTTTTTGTCCTTTAAAAGTCTAAACCCTAATTAAGAAGGGCACGAGATGTGATGAGCACTGGATATTATAAGCAACCGATGAATTATGGAATTCTACATCTGAAACTAATGATGTACTACTATATGTTGGCTAATTGAATTTAAGTTTTAAAAAAGAAAAAAGGAAGATGTTAAAAATAAAAAGTCTAAAGCCTATGATGATACACTACAATCCATTGATTAAAGTCATTTATTAATTACATGGAAACAAAGATATATTCTATTTTAATTGTTCATAATGAATTTTTGATATTCAGCCTATTTTCAAACACTGGCCAGCATGGTAACTCATGATATTTGCCTGAGTTAATTTATGCCAGTAGAAACAAGTGTGGTATGGAAAAATCAAAAGCATTATGAATTATTTGATTTTGGAAACAGCCTTGTGATAATTGGTATTTTTCAGGTTAGTAGTAAAACTGGTTTCCATTCCTTGGATATACATATATGAACTACCAGCAACTTCAGAATGAAAGTGGTTGAAGGAAGAAGTTAGTTTGGGGGTTAAAAACTGCTGCTACAAGTAAATAATATGCATAACGTATGGTTGGTTATACAACCCGATGACGCAGTGATTGGGGATACCAGATCCCAAGAACAATTGTTACGAATGCTACATTATTCTTGCTGTAGTGGAGAAGATCTCAGATGTAATACTTTGAGTAAATATTTTTAAAATAGTAGCTAACTAAAAACAAGACTATTATTTTAGTTAGAATAAGGACCAAGTTACTGATATATTTGTGAGAATGGGGGAAATGTCAACTGTACAGATACACAATTGGTGTCATTCTGTATGATTTTATGTTGCTTTACTCACCTCCATGTGTGCTCCTGTTCTGGTCTTCATGTTACGAAAGTGCAGTGTATTTCCCTTGAAAGTTCGTGAAATGGATCTCAACAACTAGTTTGAGTAAGAAGTCCCAGATAAATTGAGTACAAAACTGTTGTAGATGTCACATACATAGAGCCCACATAGGCTTAGCAGGAATCAAAAAGCTCGGGCTTAAAATATGACTTAAAAACTTTAGGCTACAGCTACATGAAAACCCCCTCACGACGATGACTACAACTGATGACCAGGACCCTTCTGGATTCTCTCACCTTGCAAGGTCATTGGAAGACAGGCCATCTGTCTACAGCCAGCAAGCTTTAGATCCCCCTTAGAAACGTATGAAGAGGGGCATCTGGGTGGTTCAGTGGGTTAAGCGTCTGCCTTTGGCTCAGGTCATAATCTCAGGGTCCTGGGATTGAGCCCCGCATCGGGCTCTCTGCTCAGCGGGGAGCCTGCTTTCCTCCCTCTCTCTGCCTGCTGCTCTGCCTACTTGTGATCTCTGTCAAATACATAAATAAAATCTTTAAAAAAAAAAAAAGAAAGAAATGTACAAGAGGGCTTTCATGTTGTTCTTGCTGCCTTTTCTGCCTCAGTTTCATTGCCCTGCCTCTCAGCTTCAGTAACCACTTATTTTACATACTGAATTGGTAAATAATTGGATTTTTCAATAAGGCAGCTGCCAGGGGAGAACTGAGCTATTATATAAAGTAATTGTAAATGAAGGAACTGGATAAAATGTGTGGAGTTCTATTTTTGTTTAATGGACTTTTCAAATAAGTGACATAAGCCTGATTATGTAGCTTTGCTCAGGCTTTAATTAGGTTCCTTCTCTCTGGGCTTCTCCCTCCTCATTTACTACACAATAGTGACCATAATACCTTTTTCAAGTGTGCAAATTACTGGAGATAATTGGAATGTGGCAGTATGTAGCCCAAGTGCTTGAACTTACTGGATTCACAAACAGAAATATGTGTTAAGTGGGTATTTTAAACGGCCTCATATACAGTGTGAACTTCCTTATCAAATTTTGAAAGCAGGGTCCCCACCTCCATCAGTTTTTAGATAATTAATATGGATTTTTCTTCCCAAGTTCACCTCCCTAATTACAACAGAGAGGCTCAGTTATATTTTGTTGAGAAGTCAATTATGTTTAGACATAATGCTCAATTACTGTTTTTCCTCTCTACGTTACCAAGGTTTTTTTCATAGGGATATGAAACCAGAAAACTTGCTTTGTATGGGTCCAGAACTTGTGAAAATTGCTGATTTTGGACTTGCAAGAGAATTAAGATCACAGCCACCATATACTGATTATGTATCTACCAGATGGTGAGTACCTTTATGCAACTCTGTAGAGGCAGAAGTAAGTCTATGTTAAAGCTTTACTACAGTGTGTCATTAACATAGCTTTCTGGAGGTTCCATTTTGAGTATTTAAAACAAAATATTGAACTGAATTTTGCATTCTGTGGAGAGAGAAGGACTGGGTCACAACTATTCTGAAGGAAAAGAGATTTCATTCATTCATTCATTCAACAAACACTTGTGGAACACCTACTATGTGCTAGGCACTATTTCAGGCATGCGGAACACAGAAGTGAACGAAACAGAAAAACCGTCGATCTCATGCTGCTTACATGACATCCCATATATAAATAAGCAAGTTAGGGCACCTGGGTGGCTCAGTCATTAAGCGTCTGCCTTTGGCTCAGGTCATGATCCCAGGGTCCTGGGACCGACCCCTACATCGGGCTCCCTGCTCAGTGGGGAGCCTACTTCTCCCTCTCCCTTTGCCTGCTGCTCCCCTGGTTGTGCTCTCTCTCTCTCTCTGTCTGTCAAATAAATAAATAAAATATTAAAACAAAATAAAACAAAAAAAAAACCCAAATAAGCTAAAAATATCATGAGTTACAGAAAGACATTCACATGTTCATCAAAAGACATGTGCTCATGTCTCAAACTCCAAACTACCCAAATGTCCATCACATGCAGCATAATATATTCATCCAGTGGGATGCCTTACAGCAAAGCGAACCAAAGTCACTTCATGCAACAATATGACCGAGTCTCAAAGATATAATGCTGAGAGTAAGAGGCCAAGTAGACAAAAAAAAGTACATATGGTATGATTCCATTTTTACAAAGTACAAAAACAGAAAACAAATCTCTGCTGTTAGAAGTCAGGGTAGCAGTTACTTGACTAGTGACTGCCAGAGTGCAGGAGATTGGCCTCCTGGGATGCTGATAACACCCAGTTTCTTGATCTTGGCGCTGGGTCAATGGGTATATTCTATTTGTGACAATTCAGCAAGTTGTCCTCTTACAATACATGCATTTTTCTGCATGTGTATTACATTCCAATAAAAACAAGAATATCTGTATATCAGATGATGATACATTATTATGGAGAAGAATAAAATATGGAAATGGACAGGGAGTAGGAGGGTTAGGGGAGGGAAAGGGCATGCTGCTATTTTAAACAGAGGGTCTCTCTGAGAAGGAGATACCAAGGCATGGAGCTTTCAGGCAGAGAAAATGCTGAGTGTAGAGGCCTTGAGACAGGAAAGCCATGTGTAAATTCTGCCGAAGGAAATGGGGCAAGATCTCAGGTCCTTATAGGTCATCGTAAGGACTGTGATGGCTTGTTAATCTTAGTGAACTGGGGAGCCCCTGGAAAATGCTGAGAAGAGGTGCGATGGGGTCTGCCAGGACTTAAAAGTATCATTCTCACTGCTAGGTTAAAAACAGATTTTAGAAGAGCAAGGGAAGAAGCAGGGAGACTGTTACACTGGCAGGGAATGACAGTGACTTGGATCTGGTGGCCATGGAGGTGCTATTTTTAAAGAAGGGCAGCCATGATTTCCTGATGAATAGATGTGCGGTATAAGATAAAGGAGTCGATGATTCTAAGGGGGTTTTTGTTTTGTTTTGCTTTGTTTACTGAGCAGCTGGAAGGATGGTGTCAGCACTGATTGAGATGGGGAATACTGGGGAGCTTCCGGGGGGAAGAAGCACAGTTCCGTTTTTGGTTGAGTATCTATTCTCAACTGGGTAAATTTAACCACTATACTGAAATGGAATGTAATTGAAAAGACTTTTTTTCAACATCTAAACTTGGCAAGACTTTCAAAACTATTTTATCTCCTAAAAATATCAAAATATAGTAACAAGTATTGGCAAGGACACAGAGAAACTGGATCCATCATACGCTGCTGGGGTGAATGTAAAATGCACAGGAGAGTCCATAGTTCCTCAGTGGTTTAGCATATAGTTCCCATGGGATCTGAAATTCCATACCTCCGCACCTCAGAGAAAGGAAAACACCCACCCACACAAAAACTTATAAATGAATGTTCACAACAGCATTCCTTATAATAGCCAAAAATTGGAAACAACCCAAGTGCCCATCCACTGATGAATGGATAACTAAAGTGTGCGATAGCCATATAATGGAATATTATTTGGTGGTAAAAAGAATGAAGTACCGAAGGTGCTACAGTACAACGTGGATGCACCTAGAAAAAACGTTAAGTGGGGCGCCTGGATGGCCTTCGGCTCAGGTCAGACCCCAGAGTCCTGGGATCGAGTCCCACATCAGGCTCTCTGCTCAGCAGGGAACCTGCTTCCCTCTCTCTCTCTCTGCCTGCCCCTCTGCCTATTTGTGCGCTCTCTGTCAAATAAATAAATAAAATCTTAAAAACAACAACAACAACATGTTGAGTGAAAGAAGCCAGTCCACAACGATTGGATAGAATATGGTTCCACTGGTATAAAGTACACACAACGGCAAATCTCTAGAGACAGAAAGTAGACTAGTGCTGGGGATCCAGGGATATTGGAGAGGTGTGAAGTTTCTTTGAGGCCAATGAAAATATTCAAAATTGATTGTGATAATGGATTACACACTCATATTTATTTAAATATTTATTTTTTATTTATTAATATTTATTATATTATATATTTTATATTGTTGTATTTATTCATATTTATTTAAATATGAATATATTTAAAGCCCCTGAGTCATACGCTTCTAAATGGATGAGTTGTGTGTTATTCAAATTTTAGCTCAATAGACCTGTCAAAGAAAGGTACTCGGAACAGAAGCAAAAAGACATACTGTGAAATATTTGGGCTGCTAAATCTACACATTTCAATGTGAAAAAAAGAAGTTAGAATTGAGACTACTTTTCCACCATTAAATATATTGTCAGTTGGGGGAACTGAGTCCACTGAAGGAATTAGCACTTTCAATCTGATGAGTAAAAAGAAGAGGAAAACCCCAGTACTTAAAAGATAGTCTTTGTTCATCTTTTGTTTTCTGTCCTTCATATAAATACATCACGGATATATTTTATAAAATTGTGCTACAGTTCTCATTCAGAATACTGCTGCTTCTGTTCAGAGTTCCTCCCCAACCCTGTCTTACAGTACTTACTTCCATATTTATTCATTTGAGTTCCTAAGTTAGGCCACTTGGACATTTCATTTATGTTTGTCTCCAACTCCACCAGCTGTTTGTAGTCAGGGAAAATGTGTTATGTCCAACTGAGCCCCAACATGCTATGCAAATGCCAAATACGTAGAAGGCACTTAGTACCGGTTCCTTGATTGAAATGTATAACCAAACCCCACCATTTCTCCATCTTTCCAACTCCAACCAAAATGGCCCGTTTTGTTTTGTTTTCTATTTCCATAGGTATCGTGCCCCTGAAGTTTTATTAAGATCTTCAGTGTACAGCTCTCCCATTGATATATGGGCTGTTGGGAGTATAATGGCTGAACTATATACATTAAGACCACTTTTCCCAGGGACAAGTGAGGTCGATGAAATCTTTAAGATTTGCCAAGTTTTAGGGACTCCCAAAAAAGTGAGTACTCTTGTCCTTAAGTTGTTATAACTTTTGATTATGATTTTTACCTAGCTATCTGATATTTTCATTTTCAAATAGGCTTATGCTTTAATGGTTATTTTTCTTATCCTTTTTTTTTTTAATTGGGTGGGATGAGAAGCCAGAATCCTTCAAGACTGAAGAAAAAAGGGTTCTTACCTTTAAGAACTTAATGGAACATTCTCTCTATTTAGAATTCTGTAGATTTACTTCGGGTTCATGAGCAGTTGATGACCTCATGGCCATCCTCGCTTAGACTCTTTCCCATTTACTCTGCGAATATGCATTGGCATCAATTCTAGAATCCCAGGTTCCTGGACCATTTCCTCTTAACCTTTCCTGTTTCATTTTACATACTTCTGCCTTGGGTATTTGATTCCTTGACCTGAGTACTTCTCAATTAACTACCGCATTCAGCCAGACCTTACTTTCTGATACGTACTTAATAAGTACGTATAATTACAGCCTAATTATGTTAGTATGTGCCTTGTAGTTAAAATTAGACACGTAAACGTAGTTATTAAGGCTTCGTGTAATTTGTTATTTCCTAACTATGTGCAGTTTCTAACAGTGGATACAATGTCTAACATAATGAGGGTCTTTGGAATGATCAGCGGTTTGCATACACCACTTGTGCCTTATTTATTCTAAGTTGGCTGGGTATCATCATTAAGATCTAAAAAACGGACAAGAGTTTAATATTCTTTCTATACTTTATATAGCACTGAGTTGTAGGTCTGCTATTTCATTCTGTTTCTATAAATCAACACTAAATCACCAGTGATTGTTATATTATACCTGTGTTTTTAAATTGATCACTAAAAACCATTTCCTTTTTGCTCTCCTGTCCCACCCACTTATATATGCCTTAAACAGAGTGACTGGCCAGAAGGGTACCAGCTTGCATCCTCTATGAACTTCCGTTTTCCCCAGTGTGTTCCTATAAACCTAAAAACTCTTATTCCCAATGCCAGTAATGAAGCGATTCAGCTTATGACTGAAATGTTGAATTGGGATCCGAAGAAGCGACCAACAGCAAGTCAGGTAAGAGGAATCCCTCTGGTACAGTGGGTTTTTTCTTTGCTTTGTTTTTGAGATTTTACAATACCAGGGATATTTTCGTTTACAAAGCAGGTCTGTTCTCAACCAGGGTTTTACCAACCTGTAAATAAGCTTGAAAATGTGAGGCATCCAATATGTCATGAATTCATGTCTAGGCCTATAAACATCCCTGGGAGAATTGAGAAAACAGCCACTCCCATGATTTTCTGTGTCTTGTGGTTCAAATGAGGTTGAGGCTGAAAGGAATTAATTTCTTTAATGATAAAAATTCACGCATATGACAGCTAATTAGGAGGAAACTTGTCACCTGGAGTGACAGGGCATCTCTTCAACTGTGCAACATAGGAGACTTTCTGTGTTCTCCCATGGTTTAGAGGTGGGTTCTTGTTCACGCTACGCAATGGTATCAAGCCTCCGTAGGACTGGAGTACTGGTCACGCTCCAGCTCCCACAAGGGGCCAGCAGGTGGCGCCCTCCCTCAGCGCCTTTGTGACCAGCCCTCGAACATCTACAGAATGCCATGGTTGTCTTTGCTTGGTTTGAAAAAGTCATAATGAGCTTCCTTGTATTCTTGTTATTTAAATGTAAGTTCAGCATTAAAAGTACCAAAAATTTATGAGGCTTTTTAAAAATTTAACTTGAGAAATATTTTCTGAAGGTGAAGTGGAAGAACAAATAGGAAAGAATAGTTAAGACAGGTTTGAACAAGAATAAGTAAATGGAGGACAGTGGTAGGGGCCAAACAGCTTGCCCGATCAGATATTAAAATAATCTGTAAAGTGAGAGGATTACAACAGTGAAGGGACTCGCATAAGAATTGACAGAGAGCCCGACTTGCAGAAGCTGTTAAACTAAGTCAGGCGTAGGTAAACATGGCATCACAAACTGGGGGGAGGGGGACTGTCACTGGCACAGTTAGTTAATTCTCAGGAAAAAAGTAAATTTAGGTTATTTCTTACCATACTTTTCGTAAATCCCAGAAGGTTTAAATAGTAAGAAGGATGAACTAAACTATTAAGAACTAAAGAAAGTATACGTGAGTATTTAATCTCAAGATAAGAAATAGATGAGTATAAAAGTAACAGAAGAAACCACAAAGGGAAAACTCACATTTTTTTTTTTCATCATGGTGAGTGTACTCCTCAGGCCCCATTGCCCATTTCCCCCATACTCCCACCCACCTCCCCTCTGGTAACCATCGGTTTGTTCTCTGTAGGAAAAACTCAGATTTGCTCACATAAAAATTAAATTTTTTTCTCTTATAAAAATCCCAAGGTTGGAAGACAAGCAGCAAGAATTCTTTTCAACAAATGAGACAGTGTATTTTCTAATGTTTCTAAATATTTGTTAACTTTTGTAATAAAAATATAATAAAAGTCTTTAACTCTTACCTAAAAAAGAAGTGGGCATGAGACATTTTTTTAAAAATCAGAAAAAGAAATAAAAATTACCAAAAACTATTTTTTTAAATGTGCAGCCATTGTTCATTATGGTAAAATGCAAAAACAACAACAAACCAACAAAAAACAGCTTAAAGGCTATTTCTCTAAGTAATGGAAAAAGTTTTGCAATGTAGTATAAGAATGTTGAAAACAATCAGAAAGTTGGATAATGATTTATGCCCACAGATGTTCAAAGCTAATTAAAAACTGTGCATTGGAGGTATATATATATCCTTAACATAGACTACTTTGCTCCCATTAAAAATGGAGTTTTTAAAATAAAGTAACCATTTTGGAGACTTCTCAAGCCCAAATACTAAGTTTAAATGTAGGCTAGACTATTATACATACAACATGATTTTATTTAAAAAAATATATATATATTACATGACTAGAAAGAAGTACAAAAAAAGCAAAACATCAAAATGTGAGCAATACTTTTTCCCTGGTGTTGGCATTGCAGACTATTTTAATTTCTTCTTGATGCAATGATCAAATATTCCCCAAATAAACAGGAAAAAACAAGTTCCTTCTTAAAGACTCACCTCTTCTTGAAGGATGGTAGCTGATATCTTAAAGAGGAAAAGTTGTTACAGATGAAGCCTTGAAATTGCAAATCACACTTTTAAAGTTTCTAGCTCCAAAATAGTACATTTTTAATTTAGGAGTTTTGACATACTAATTAATAGGACTTAATTAGGAAATTGAGTGCTTTCTGTGCGCCAGGTACTGATGTATTTGTAGAGCTCCACTTAGGAACGTCGGTGTAATTAACACATACATCGGTTGTGGTAGGGGACATCTCAGAATAAAGGTTCTTTCTACATCTGCTGAAATATACCTCCCACCCTTAACCTCTTTCTTGCCCACTATTTCATAGATAGCCCTCCTTTTTAGTGGAAACAGGAAGACTGAGTTAGGAGACGTGAACTTACAGAATACAGGAGCCATGTACAAGGCTACTTCTGTCCCCCAAAAACTTCCCTTGCAGTTAACTGTGTGTCAGAGCTGTGCTCACACATCAGTGGGAACCGGCTTCGTGCAGCACATGCAGGGTAATAGGACTTGGCTACCTTAAGGTGCCCTCCTTATCCTCCCCCCATGCATACAAACACAAACTGCAGAACTGGGAACTTTCCTCCTTTAATCCAGGCGTATGATGACTGGGTAGAGGGATCAGTATCCACAGCTGAGCTGCACTGAAGGCTTCAGACATACCCTAGACCAATTTTCATCAACTTTGGCCATTGTGACATTTGGATTAGATCCTTCTTTGTTGTGAGGACCATCCTGTTATTGTAAGATGTTCAGCAGCACCCTTAGGGGCATGTCTAGATGCCAGTTGTACCTCCCACCCACGGGAGAACCACTCCTGTAGACTGTGCGGCCAGACAGTCGTCAGGGGCCCTCCCCTCCAGCCCACCACCTCCATGCAGCAGCAGCAGCTGGTTGGCTGATCTGGTTAAAACCCAAACAGTGATTGTTTTTTATTATTTTTATATTTTCTTCCCAGAAATATCTTCTCTTTGCTGATACATTACTATAATAAGCTCTTAACACATATCCACTTGTAATCTCCTTTCCTAGAATTTTTCTTACTGCTGGTAGGCATGTAGCTATCCTTAGGCTAAGAGTGGCCCTGAATTTTATATTATATTCTAGTTAATCATTTAACATGAACTCCTTAGAAGATTTTCTTAACTCATTCCCGAATGGCTTTGGAGGGACTCTAAAACCATGCTCAGTATCTAGCATTTTCGTTTGAATTAATCACATCAAATTTAGCCCGTGTTTATAAGCTGGATTTTATTTTCATACAAATACAACAGTTGCTTTGCCTGGACATTACCCATGAGTTTTACATTCTTCCTACTATGTTGTACCTATTTTTTCAATGAAATTTGTGTCCTAAATCATTAAATCCTGGTTACCTTTTTGAAGGTAGCAGAAAGGGAAAACTGGATGCTTTCTAAGTCTTTGAAGCTGATCTAGGCTAGTGCTGTATGCCAAGCCTGCTGTCAGTCAGTCATTTATGTGCGGTAAATTTAGGTGCAACTGTTTTCCATTTCTTATTTCCATGCTTTTGTAGGCATTGAAACACTCGTATTTTCAAGTTGGTCAAGTACTAGGCCCTTCCTCACATCATCTGGAATCGAAACAATCTTTAAATAAGCAGGGGCAACCACTAGAATCAAAGCCATCTTTAGGGGATCTAGAATTGAAGCCCCTGCCAGACATAAATGACCAGACGGTCAGACAGCCCCAACCGAAGAACAGCCACCAGCCACTGGAGTCCATCCAGCCGCCCCAGAACACGAGTGTCCAGCCAGCGCCAAAGCAGCCGGGACAGCAGAAACAGCCGCAAACACTGTTTCCAAGTATTGTCCGAACCATGCCGACCGTAAGTAGCCCATGACGACACTTTGGATGCAATAGTTTCCAGGCTACAGACTTTCTTTAACAGTTACTCAGATGCAAAAGAACTCAAAGAATTTAATAGAATCTGGGACTCAAGAGAGATGATCCTAAATCTTAAGGATTTGAACAGTAATGTTATACTGTTTTTAAATACTAATGAACATGAACAGAATGAGTTTTTTAAGTATCAGGCATCGTCTAAGACTTTCTCTTCCTACTTCTTTTGTTCGGTTCGGGGAGCTCCGTCAGGGGCCACATGAGTTGTATCCTCAAGATATATACTCCCAAATACATTTGCATCATGGGCACTTTAAGGACTGAGAGATCTCAATGAATACTGTCTAATTCCTTATCCCCTCCCGCTGTCCTTATATAAGCAGGCCCTGCTCCCTGTAGCACTAATCCTATTCTATTGTACTATTAATTGCCTCGTTCTTGTGTGTCCTGTTTATTATCTGGCTCTTCCTATAGAATATAGGCTCCAAGAGCTCAGGAATGTTCGTCTGTTTATCAATATAGGCCCTGAACCCAGAATGGTGCCTGGCACGTGGTTGGCTTCTCAGTTTACCCGTTGAACAGATGAGTTAATTGTCCATACTAAATCTAGGAGTCTGCATCATCTAGGGGCATTTCTTTTCGTTATTTTTTAATATGATTGAGTTATTTTAGAGAGAGAGAGAGCACATGAGCAGGAGGGGCAGAGGGAGAGAGATTCTCAAGCAGACTCCGCACTGAGTGTGAAGCCCAACACAGGGGCTCACAAGATCTCACAACCTTGAGATCACTACCTGAGCCGACACCAAGAGCTGGATGCTTAACCAACTGTACCACCCAGGCACCCCCTCTTTGGGACATTTCTGACTATTCAGAAGTTCTTTCTTAGACTGAGCTAACATCTGGTTTTCTGTAGCTTTCTTTTTTTTTTTTTTGTTTTTTAAGATTTATTTGAGAGAGAGAGCACATGCAAGCATGAGGGAGAGCCAGAGGGAGAAGTAGACACCCCACTCTCCAGGGAGCTTGATGTGGGGCTCGATCCCAGGACCCTGAGATCATGACCTGAGCCAAAGGCAGACGCTTAACTGACTGAGCCACCCAATGTCCCTTCTGTAGCTTTTAATAAAAGTTTATCACTCTTCCCAAAAGGCAGCCATTCAGGTCTCTAAAAATAGCCCTTATATTACCTGTCCTCTTCTTTAAAAGAAACATCCCCAGTTCCCTCACACTCCACACATGACATCATTCACCAATGACTGAGTAATCCTTGGTTCCTGTGTAGGAAGGAGACTTTGAGTCCCCTCTCCATCCTGCTTCCCATTTAGAAAGAGGCTGCCATAGTAGGGGCAAACCACAGGCAGGGCGTATAAATCATGGGAGAATCACCTCCAACATTCCAGAACCATGTCACCAAAGATTACGTTTTTGTTTGTTTTTTTCTCTTGGGAGGCACATCAGATGTTGACTCATACTGAGAGGAAAAGAAAAGAAATGAATATTTATTGAGTATCTGCTAAGTGCCATGTACTATGCTAAGGCCTTGTATGCATTCACTAAGTTATCGACCCAGTAACCTAGTGCTCAATTTTTAGATAGCTAATAGGTTCCAGAGAAGGGATTGAACATCTGTCAACTAAAATTCCCAAGTCTATTTTCTACAAGTGCTTTTGCTAAATCACATATTCTTTACTTCTTTCTTGTGTGGGGGATTTTTGCAAATTACAAAGTGTGATCTCTAGGATTCAAAAAATTGCAAGACCTTACTTTTACCCTTCCAATTTCTAAATTATTTTGTCTTGTCAGTTCAACCATTCTGCCTAGCATGTCACTAACTATGCACTTGTTTTTGTTGTTCGTTTGCTTTTTTTCCTCCTATACCTTCAAGATGAACAGAATGGCAATGAGCCCTTGGGCAGGCCACTGGGACCTTCTTGTACAGTGACACTGACCCACTGAGAGTACTCTTGGTCAGACTACTGAATAATGTACTTTGTGTGCTTGGGCTGCTATAACAAAATACCATAGACTGGGAGGCTTTAAGCTGGAAATTTATTTTCTAGATGCTGGGAAGTCCAAGATCAGAGTGTTAGCCAATTTGATTCCCAGTGAGGGCCTTCTTCCTGGTTTGTATAAAATGCCTTCTCACCTTGTCCCTACGGGGCAGAGAGGGAAGGCAGAGAGAAAAAGCAAGCTCTCTGCAATCTCTTTCAGGAGGGCCCTAATCCCATCATGAGGGTCTCATCCTCGTGACCTCATCTAATCTCTAGTTACCTCCCAAAGGCCACTTGTCCAAATACCATCACATTAGATTTGGGGTATAAATTTTGCGGGGGTGTACAAATTTCAACATATAAATTTTGGGGGAAAATAAACATTGAGTCTGTAACAGTACTGACCCACCTTTGTTGTCCTTTTGTCACTTCATTTCACTGACAGCATCAAAGACTAGTTCAGCTACTCTGTTGAAGGCCACAGAGACCACATACATTCATTGTTTGCTTTGTAGAAAAAATGGTGGCCTATACGATCTACCCACATTTTTTCCCTCAGTGCTCAAAAACTTTACCTTTAATAACTGAGTTTAGATCTTTGCCCTTATCCTATACCAAACATATTAAAGTGTAATTTGCAAAAATCCACCTTCTACTTTATAAACATTATTTATATTTGCCCCTTTCCAGTCTTCTCAGACATCTTGATATTACTGACATGGCTCAGCAGCCTAGAGCATCAGCGCCCCAAAGAATAACTCAACAGAAATAAGAGGCTCACGCTCCGCTAACTATAACCTTTGATTAGCTCTGCTTATCTGGGATCTTAGATTGTTTCATTCTCTTTAGTCTAGAGTTAATTTTCCCTGGCAAAGAAAACAACAGTATAATAGAAGTCAGCAAACACCATTTCTGTCATCAGCCATCACTAAGGCACCATGGGCTCCAAGCAATAGCATATCTATTCTTTAAACATCTTGCCTGAAACTTAGTTGTATATGCTTCCAAATTCCCTGATTTTCAATTGCCTTTTGGATTTTTCCATTTATGTACCCCCCAACTGCCCCAGATAAATTTGAATAAAACCACTGTGTGGTCCATGGCAGGTTTTCTTCCTCATTCCTTATTTTTATCAATAGAGCCACCATCCTGAAACAAGCAGGCTAAAACTTTTAGTCATCCCTGCCCTTCCTGTCTGCATCCATTAGGATTACATTCTTCTGTGACTTATGATGGAAAATGGACCACTGAGGCTCAAACAATAACGGGTTTTTTCTTGAGTAACAAGAAGTCAGATGGTGGGCCAAACCAGGGCTGGTGCAGATTATAGAAGGAACCACCAGACTGCTTCCGTCTTCCTGTTCTGCCATACTTAGCAGGCTGCTTTCATTCCTCTGGCCACAAGATGACTGCCGCTCCTTTGGGATAGCGTCTGGATTTTCGAAGAGGGAAGAGTGAAAGCCACTGGCATGCCAAGGGAGTCCAAAAATAGCTCTCCTGGAAGTCCCTCCTGTACAATTAAACTGACAACTCATTGGCTAGATTGTGTCACATGGCTACATAGAGCTGTGAAGGAGGCTGGGATTTCATGTATTTTAAGTAGGTATATTGAAAGGAAGATGGGAAGAATGGCTACTGAATGGGTAACCTGGCAGTGTGTGCCACACTCTCCTCTGACCTCTGTTCAGGGAGATGCAAAGTTCAGTCCTTTTATTCCTTGTTAAGAGCAAATGTATTCTTTCATGACCATACCAGTATAACTGTAAAGACTTCCTATTTGAAGAGCTTGGCCTTTTAGAATGCTGCCTTTATCTCACCACTTTTTAGCTCAGAGACATCCAGTGTTCTTTACTGCCCACAGGAGAGCTGCAACTCATTAGACATACTGAAGGCCGTCAAACGCTGTCATCAGTCTGTCTTTGCAACCCCATCCTCCACAACTTCCAGCACCAACCATCTGCTTTGATAAGCTAGGTCTACACTTTCTTCCTGGAACAAGCTGGCACTTTTCTCTTTTTTCTTTCTTCTTCTTTTTTTTTTTTTTTTTTTAAAGTAGGCTCCATGGCCCAACATGGAGCCCAACATGGGGCTCAAACTCACAACCCTGAGATCAAGACCTGAGCTAAGATTAAAAGCTGAATGTTCACTGACTGGGCCACTCAGGTGCCCCTGGCACTTTTCTATTAGAAAGTCATACTCTGTATATTTCCTCTTCCAAACTCTGGAACAATAGTAATAACAACCATACCACCTAACCTTAGTATAACTCTTGTTATATGTTAGGCCATATCCTAAGGACTTTCAAGATATTTTATATTAAATTCAGAAACACTAATTAGAGAAATACTGCATATCTCCATTTAAGGAGGAAGAAACCACCAAGGCTTTGAGAAGTCACTTGACCAAAGAGACACAGTCACACATGACACTTTTCCAAATTATACATCAGTGAGGAGTCAATTCTGATCCTAAATATTCAAGTCTCACCCCAGCCCAAATCCAGAGATCTCTCCTCCCTCTGAACTCCTATCATATTTTTAGCATGTGCTACCTGTTTTTGTTAGTACTTTTCAACCTGTATATATGTATCTTCTTAACTTTATGGAATCCTCCTTGAGAATGGGTACTTTTGGTATCAACTAGAATAGCTTACGCATAAAAGGAACTCAGCAAATGCTACGGATGATGATGTCTGATTTTCCACCACAGAAGCCAAATGGCACACTGGGTCATAAAAGTGCTAGGAGGCGTTGGGGTCAGACTGTGTTCAAGTCTGGAGATAGCTGGGAAGAATTTGAGGACTGTGATCTCGGAGCCTCCCATTCCAAGAAGCCAAGCATGAACATATTCAAAGAAAAGAGGAAAAAAGATTCTCCATTTCGGTAAGATTTCACATTCCAGGAAAATATATTTTTATCATGCATCAACTTATATTACTCATTACGTATAACTGAAGATGTTAAAAGACAATAAGTAGCTTACCATTGTTTTCTTCCACATACCCCAGATCTCTACGCATACCTCTGGGAAAGTAAGAATCTTGACTTCTCGCGGTAATGATTCTCAGTATTAATGGCTGAGTGTTGTGTGTGTCCGGCGGGGCAGAGGGAGGGGAAGAGTTCTTGTGAAGTTGTTAGTGTGCCCTACTGAATTATGATCGCCATCATTCCCATTTGAAATCTGTATGCCTATTTGAAGAAAAGCAAAGCTCAATCTATAAAAGTAACGGTTTCCTCTGATGGTGCTCAGATTCACTAATTTGTTTGCTATTCTAAACTCTTTTGATCATTTCTTAAACTTTTTCTGGAAGTTTCGTTATCTCCAGCAGTCCCTTTTCTAAGTTAAGTCATCATTAGCGCACTTTTCAACTTTGAGGTGAGGGTGGGTTAAATTTTATGAACAAAAGCTTGGAAAAATATTGTCTTTTTTTTTTCTCTTTGGAACAAAAGAGGGAGAAAAATATTGGCAGGAGGCAGGGAATTTTATCTAATAACTATATGGCATTTACTTTGGGACACACATGTCTCTGAAGTACATGGAAGGTTCTGTTAGGAGGACTTACACTTGAATAATTCTTTGTCAATAGGTTTCCAGATGCTCAAGTTCCATAGGTACTCTTCCATAAAGTACACGAACTTGAGAACAAACATGCTTAATCCCCCTCCCACTTTATACCAGAGGGTCACTCCTCTCAGCATTTCGAATCTGGAGTGGCATGAATGCATAACAACCTTTGAGATGCTAGACAAAGGGATGTCAGAAGACTGCCATCTTCAGCTCAGAAGGCTTTGTTGTCCTATACGTATTTCTCTTAGGGGAAAGAAAACCCCACATTAGAAATTGGGTATGTTAGCCAGTGTTGGAAAGCATGGGGATTCAGAACCACTAAAGCACTAGAGCCTAATGATGCTTATTCTTTTAAATGTACTAGAATGTTCTGTGAAACTGTTGACTTTTTTCAGAACCTACAGATATACATTGTACATAATTTTTTGAAGATTCAGTGTTTTATGGAATAAGGTGCTTAGAACTTTATCAACTCGCACCATGAAATACTCCAATTACAGTTCATCTTCATATTTCATCTTATGAATTATTCAGTTTTCTATATACTATTAAGAAATAAGAAAATGATTTAATTTATGATTAAAACTTATAGATGTCAAGTTAAAGATAGAGAGCTACATAGTTGCTTTTTTCTTAAATAATTATTTGCATCTGCATTGATATACTATGTAGATGACTTGAAAACTTTTTTTAAACCTATGTAATCTCAATTCCAGCTGAATTTTATCATGTGTTAGGTGAAGAGATTTGAATCAAAATCTATAGTTAAAATCAAGTTTGTAGTCCATATACTTAATTCTGGCAAGGGAACAATTGGTAAATGTCTTCTGTAACATTTATTCCTTTTCTCTTGAAAGTCTTTAGAAAAACTGTATGACAATGAATTCTTAACTTGTATTTCTTCCATTTTTATTTTTTAGTATCTTCAAATGGCTTTATATAATTTAGACATATAAGAATGATTATTATTAATATACTCCCACATATTAAGTACCTACCTAAATTTTAATTTGTAATCTTCATGTTCCAGTAAAAATAGTGTAGAACAGAATACTGAGAGTCAGGTTGGATAAACAGGTAGCCTAAAGTCAGATGAGGCCTAATTCAAAACTTATCTAGATGTCTGCCTCTCTCCTGTACAATACTTGGTGAATTGAATGCACTCTGCTATTCTCTGCATAGGCTTACTCAAAAAAAAATACAACGGATCAAATACTAAAGTGTGAAACTTTCATTTATTAGGCTGTCATTTTTTTTAGCAAACAAAACAAAAACAAGATATTTATACTTAGACTTGTATGCATGCGCGATAGACAGTTACTAAACACCTAGATGGTATTAAGCAAAGGTAGGAACAGGATGTGTCTGTCTTCATCCCATCAAATGTGTAACAGTGGAAATATATAACACAAGAACAGAACATGTATTAGGTTCTGCTAATAAAGGAGCTCTAAGGAGCTCCAGAGTTCTGCTCATGGGCAGATCACTTTGAGGAGGAGCAAAGTCTTTTTGGTAAGAGCAGTTTTTGAAAACGGGTAGGATTTCAGCAGTTGTTGGTCTATGGTGGGCTGAGGGAGAGGGAAAGGACCCAGAAATGATTGAGGCTGTTTTTAATGAAAGGGTCCTCCTTGTGTCTAGGGCTACCCCAGAGCAGGTTGGGGCAGCCAGAAGATCAAAGGGCCAACCAAGACAGGGTTGGTCCGAGGGAGTCCCAGACAACCTTACTGACAGACATTGCTTTCATAGACAGGTAAGGGGGGCTATGATTGTCTTCCCTTTCAATGTGCCGTCCTCCCCTGTTATAAATCCACAACTGTAGCAGTGGCCGGAAAGCTAGAAACATTACACACAGGCAGTGTGCTGCTCAGTTATAAAGCTTTCTGTTGCATAATGTTTAGTATTAAGAAGGATTGTGTGGACAGCCCAGTATCTGTTGGGGGAGAAGTTGTCATTTAGTGTCCCTGTCAGCAAAAGGACTCTGATGGAAACTATTTAAGTGAGGTGACCTTGCCCTTGAAAAGATGAGCAGGGGGTGGGTGAGAACACAGTAGCTGTCATCGTCACATGTTTTCACATTGTAATGCTGCCTTATATTATTTTCAAGGCTTCCAGACTCCATCCCCTCCAGCTCCCACCACTCCGCAGGGGAAAACAAGAGCTTACCTGCTGCTTTTCCCCTAAAATCTGATCCTGAACTGTCAACGGCCTCAACAGCTAAACAGTACTACCTGAGGCAATCAAGATACCTTCCAGGTAAGCAGTGGAAATGAAATGTTTGCCGCCAACCAGAAGACAGGTCAGGCTCAAGTGTCTTGGAATATTTTTGTAGGAAGGGCACCAGTAAGATAACAAGTATAATCACAGTGCTCTTGGCCGGCTCTGCCTTGCCAGTACTTGTCTCCAAGGACTTTTCTCAGTCTCTTGCCTCGGTCAAGTCTGCTCAAGAAATGCTTAGTCAAAAATCAGGATGAGAACAGGCTTCAAAAAAAATACCACTCTTGCCCACCAAAGCTATGCCTTTAAGTGCTAAATTTTGGTAAAATAATTCTGTACCCCCGTTACACCATTTCATAAAATGTGGGATTTTACACTGTTTCCTAAATGATCTGGATTATGGTTTGGAAAGATCATGGTGGGTTGAGCATACTATGCACTCAAGAGGGGCAAGGAGGCTGGTTAGGAGCCCAGTGCATGTGTCTGGATAGAGACGGTAATGGCTTGCTCTGGAGTGGCGAACGTGGAGACAGAAAAATGGGTAAAAGCTCAGTGTATTTCAATAGTGGAAAGATAAGACTTGCTCACAGACCAGCATGGATGATGATAGAAAACAGCAGGAATTAATGTTGGCTACTGGGTTTTTGGTGGCAATGACTGGGGGGGATGGTGGTGACTTTAGCTGAGAAAAGGAAAATCAGGAGAGGACAGGAGGTATGGAAGTGGAGAAACTGGAGTTGAGGCTGGGATGCCTAGCAAACATCTGAGTTGATCTATCTAAGACGACTGAATATATGAACCTGGAGCTTGGGAGAAAGATCTAGACAGATCGTGGGGAATTTATGTTGTGCCTGCAAGCAGCACTTTTCTCCTCAAAATCCACTTTAAAAAGAGAAGTTTAAATTTAATGAAGTCTAAAAGGGAATCAATTTTTAATTGACTATGTATCTATATAGATATATCTTTAGTCCAAAAAGAGGGAGAGATAAAGTTTTCATCTCTGGGCATGGCTATTTACAGCTTTCTGAATAGTAAAAAGGCCACTGGGTTCATGTGAGGAAGTCTTCCATGGTTTCATCTCCCAGGAATTTGGGAAGGAGGAATAAGGAAGACAAGACAAGGGTGAAACTGGATTGTTAGCAAGAGATTGCGGCATAACATTTTTCCATTTATCTTTTAGGCAACCATATAAATTTCAGTTTTAGGAATCCAGTAGAGATCCACTCCTACTGTCAATAATTGAAAGGAAAAAAATGAAATTACAGAAGGGCTTTAGAAATGGACAGGAGAGAAAACAGAGGCACGATGGCTGTGTAGGCTTAGACACACGTGTCAAAGAAGTTGAAATAAAGGTAGGGAGAACAAGGCCAGCGTTCAGACAGCACTTCTCTGCTGAGTAGTTAAGAAGGAAGATACTGTCCTATCCAAGAGAGATTGAAGAGATTGGTATGAAGTTATCCAGGAAGGAGCTAAAACTATAACCCTGGGTATTTGGAGATCTGTGGCTTCAATGTCTGTTTTGTTTCAGCCTTTAGAGAGGGGGTGGCCCAGCTGGTCGTTAGTGGATGAGCAGCAGGTCTCTCTGTGTGGATGGAAGGGCAAGACGTTGTGGGACCCATGGAGAGCACACACATTCATTCATGGATGCTGTCCATTCCTTTGTTTTATTCATTCACTCAGCAATATATATGCAGCACTTAGTATGTGCCAGGAACTTAATGAGGCACTGAGATATCTGTATAGCACTGAACAAGACACACAAGGTGCGTGCTCTCTGGAAGCTTACGTTCTAGTGCAGAGAGAAAAGGCAAATTCACAGATGGTGATGAGTGTTGTGGAAGCAGAGAGATGACCTGGAGGGCGGCTGTGGGGGGCACTCCCCAATCCCTTCACCTCTGACTTGATGCCAGAAGGAGGAGGAGGAGGCGATCAAGCAGAGAGCTGAGAGAAGGGTTTTAGGTGGAGGGAACGACGCTGGCTTGAGTAGATCAACAAGCGGCCTATCTGGAGCTTAAAGGGCTGAGGGGAGAGCAGTGGGGGAGGGGGGAGCCAGCAGGGCTCAGATGAGGGAGCACCTTGAGGGCAGGGGAAGGAATTTGGGGTTTGTTCCAGGTCCCATGGAGGCCTTTGAAGGAATCTCAGGTGGTGAGTGACACACGACACGTGTGTTAGACTCTGCGTAAAGGACGGATTGCAACAGGGCAAGGCTACATGCAAGGAGGCCAGCTGGAAGCTACCGCAGTCTCCTCCAGGGGAAAGATGACGACGACCTCTTGATAGATTTTGGAAGTGGACTTGCTGATGGATGTTGGTAGAAAAGAAGGGAAAAGGGAGTTTGGAGCTTGAATCCGAGCTGGGTGGTGGTGCCGTGCTCTGAGATGGGGGAGTGAGGAGGAATAAAACTGGGTGGGGAAGAGGTAGATAGTCCTGTGCGTGGGCTGTTGTTTTTGAGATGCTTGTGAAACATGTTGGTGTGGAGAGGCCACTCCGATGGAAGGAGGGAAGAACCAGGAATGCGGAGGAGGGACCTGGGCAAAGGAGAACAGATGTAGGAGTCCGCAGCAACTCCCAGACAGTATTTAGTCCATGGATTGACTAGGATCACCTGTAGAGAGATTGGGAATGGGAACCATGGTAGCGGTAGAGGAGAAGGAGCTGAGAAATAGGAAAGAGCCAGGCAGATGATGGGGAGACCAGGCACAGGTGATTTCCAAAGGCCAAGAAGGGAGCGTTTACCTGAAAGAGTTTACTGCTGAGCGCTTATAAGAAGGGAGAGAAATGCCCAATCACATTTGACAACGGAGAAGTCCCTGATGACCCTGGGCGTGCAGTTTCAGTATGGAATGGTGAGGGATTGAAATGAGTGGGTTGAAAAGCGATGAGAAGTGAGAAAGTAGCGACTGAACAGGCATACTACTCTTTGGAGATGTTCTGCTGCGAAGAGGAGCTTAGAAAACAGAGCCATACTGGAGCCGGCTCAGGGAGCACATCAATGGTGGGGATTCTGGGTCTTTGGAGCTCATCTACATGTGGACAGGAATGATGGTTTACAGAGGGAGGCATTAATCATGCCGGAGGGGAGGGGGATGCCTGAGGGACTGAAGTCCTTAGGAGGGGAGAAGAGTTGGAATTAAGACCATAAAACATGGGGGGCGGCACTTTTGAAAGCAACAAAGGCACTTCCCTTGTAATCTCTATCTAGATACCTGGAGGTTTGTAAATGTTGGTGTTGGTACTGTGCGGGAGTTCTGATCTGACTGCAAAAGTAGGAATGTAGCAAAGTTCCCAGAACACAAATTCATGGGGGATACTCTTCCGTTTGGGTTAAAAAACAAAAATCACTCAGCAAATTGGTATTTTTATCTATACAAGGAAGCCCTCTGGTGGTGGGAAAGGCAACTGTAAATTTTTGTTAGGATAAAGGGATGCAAGGTACCTTGTTTTCATATTTCTGCTCCCTAAAGTGGATTTCTGGGACATATTTTGGGTATCTGAGACTGGTCAGATCACTTCCTTCTTAAAAGAGAGATGTAACAGTTTCGCAAATTACTGTGGTTCATAAGCATGGCTATAACCGAAACTTAATAAACAGACTTGAAATTAGAAGTGCATGAAATCTCAATTTGAGCTTTACTATTCCCCTGTTGGCCTTTTTTGTCTTGAGGATGCCCCTCTAGAGCTGGATGAGATTTGAAACTAGAACTGAGCTCAGTTCAGTTACCTGGACAAACATTTATTGAGCACCTATCATGACCCAGCAACTGCAAAGGATAGAAACTGTAATAAGAAGTGATCCTTGACATATGTGATCCAAAGTTATTTTTATAACTGAGTATCTTCAGGATTAAAAAAATATGTATCTTTGGGGGTCCTTTCTTTTTTTTTTAATTATAAATCCAAACATAAAAGGTTTTATTAAGCATCAACTTTTTTAGGATCATGAGAGCTCCAGAAATGTACCATATACTTTCAGGGCAGCATGACATTATACAAGAATTGGCAGATCTGTGACACTGGCCTTCAGGGAGAGAGACGCAAGAGTCATAGTTACTGACCTGCTACTGACCGGCTGTGTACTGGAGCAAGACTTTGAGATTCTGTTTTCTGTTACTTACAATGGGACTGCAGTCATCGCTCAGCTCACCCTGTAAGCCTTACGTATTTAATGATAGCAAGGTAGTTGCAGTAGAGCGTGCGATGCAAGCGCAAAGCATCTCTCGGAGGTGCCTTCTGGTCTCCCGTCCTGCTCCCAGCACCAGGACTCCAGCCCGCATGCATGGATGCAGCCACGCTGGCCCAGAGACCGGCTCCCTCCACAGCGCATTTGAAACCCTGCTCCTTCCCGAGTCCCTTTATTACTTCTGTTCCTCCTTCCTGCTCCCCTGGCCTTGTCTTCAATGTCCCATGCCATTTCTACACTTGCCTTTCCTACCGTGTTTTAAATGTCTTCACAGGACCCACACATCCCTATGTGACTTGACCCCTACTCCCCTCTCCAGCCTCATTTTGTGCCAGTCCCTGGTCTTCCTTTGTCCACGGACTCTCTCCCAGGGCTTCCCCATCTCGGGTCCCCAGCCTACACTGTGGCCTCTCCTGACCCCCAATCAGATTCACAGTTCACCTTAAAATTCCTATTTTTTTAAAGAAAGAGTGATAGACCTTTTAAAGAAACTTGCTTCTGTTATTTACCTGCCCCCCTCAGCACCAGATTCTTTTAAACAATTTATATACCACTAATTATCTATTTATAACTTTTAATGTCTCCCTTCCCATTAAATTATAAGAGCCACAAGAGTAGAAACTAGTGTGCTGTGTTCACCACATTTTGTCCAATGCCATATACACTGCCTGGCATGTGATAGGTGCTCACTAAATATTTGCTAACTGATTTAATCTCCTCTGAGGCAAGGGATGATGGTATGTTCATTTCTACCTCTATCCCAGTGTTTGCTATATAGAAGGTGCCAAGTAAAAGCTTGTGAACTAAGATGTAAATGACTTAACAGTCTAGATTGTGTCTATTTCCAAGAAATCTGGAATCTTCAAAAAGACAGCAGTAAAGCAATTTTCTTTGCTAATGGATATATTTACTTAAAAAAAAAACTAGGGGGACGCCTGGGTGGCTCAGTTGGTTGGACGACTGCTTTCGGCTCAGGTCATGATCTCGGAGTCCCGGGATCGAGTCCCGCATCGGGCTCCCGGCTCCACGGGGAGTCTGCTTCTCCCTCTGACCTTCTCCTCGCTCATGCTCTCTCTCACTGCCTCTCTTTCAAATAAATAAATAAAATCTTTAAAAAAAAAATCAGGGATATCACAAGACTAACTTGATTAAAAAAATAATTGAGGTACTCAAGAGCCCATTCTTTTTGAACTACACTTATGAAAACAGTTCATTTAAGGTGATTTTTAATTTGTCCCCCTACCAAAAAAAAAGTTTTGTGTGTGTGTGTGAAGATTTTTTCACGAGTTATTGCTATCTTCTTTAGAAAGTGCATCTTCTTTATTGTCAGGTAATTGCCTGCTATAGTTCAATTTTTAAGTGTTTTTATTAGAAACCAAAATCCGGGGGCACCTGGGTGGCTCAGTGGGTTAAAGCCTCTACCTTTGGCTCAGGTCATGATTCCAGGATCCTGGGATCGAGCCCCGCATCAGGCTCTCTGCTCAGCGGGGTACCTGCTTCGTTTCCTCTCTCTCTGCCTGTCTCTCTGCCAGCTTGTGATCTCTGTCTGTCAAATAATTAAATAAATAAAATCTTTAAAAAAAAAAAAAAAGAAAAAGAAACCAAAATCCATATGGAGCTATATGCCATAAGAAAGGCAAATTATTTACCTGGCAGAGTGTTTCATTAGAGAACTGGTGACCAGTAACCTTGAGGTACAAAGCAACCTGGTTTTTTTCTGTCTTCAGAACTAGGGATATTATTACATGCCTCATAAATGGGAAACTTTGCTAAGGAGTTCATTCTGAAAAGCAAGAGATTGTCCCACCTGGAAAAAAATTGCTAATTTCCTATATTATTGGTAGTTCCCAGTGAGGATTTTTCTTGTATTAGCTGAAGAAAACACTCATGTCCAACCCAGAGGCTTTGATGGTGTGAGGTCTTTACCGTCCCGTATGTTACATCCAACTTATGGTCAGTAAAAAGAAAGCAAGTTCAGAAAACTTTCAAATATCTTAAAAAGTTGAAACACCACCCTTTGACCACTAGTACCAGAGTCCAAAGTTGACTCCACGTTTCACAGATTTCAGAAAATCAGAACTACTTTGTTTAAATTTTACTAGGTCTCATATACAAATAAGCTTCATAGATAGATGCTGACATATCTGCTTCCAAACTTTAAATTCCCTTGAGTTCTTGGTCACACGTCTGTTTTCCTGGCCACACTAAGTGTTCCTCCAGGGTCTGGCCCAGAGTTCATACTGAAAACAAGTAAATGACAAGGAAGTATCTTTTTGAAGAAAATGTTGTTACCATCTCCATTTTTGTAAGACATTTGGCTATGTTTAACCTATTATTTCTTGTATGACAGAAAACATCTTATGTTTATAAAATACACTGTGAGGATTCCAGGTTATTGGAAGTATTTCAGGTTAAGGCAATTATCTGCTACATTGCAACATAAATTTATTTCCATTCTCCTTCTCCATGTTATTTCTGGTCTTTATCTGAAATGTATTATATATTTTTCCTTCAAGTTAATGATCACATGCTAACCTCTGAAATGACTATTTTGCTCTTCTAAGGTGTAAATCCCAAGAATGTGTCCTTGGTAGCCAGTGGAAAGGATATAAAACCATATACTTGGAGTACTCAGTTATTTCCTAAGTCATTGGGACACGTGGGGGCAGAACTTGCTTTCAAAAGGAGTAATGCAGGTAAAGCAAAAATACATTTAAAGTATAATTTTACATTGTTTTTCTTCTGCAGATTTTTACTTTTAACTACATTGCAAGCTGCCTTCTTCCAATGGAGATGATTTTGGGGGTACACAAAAGCTTTCTAACTGGTACTTTAGCACAGATCATTTAAAGGCAATCATTTGCTAGATCTCAACTTCCATATGGATTCTGTCCTAAAAAAATGCATCTTCCTGAACAATGGGTCTCTATTCTCTGACTTTACAAAAGAAAAGACAAATTCTGTTTACTAGGGTATGTTTCCTATTTCCCCAAAGAATAAAAATCTCTGGGGTGCCAGTCAAAGACACAGTTTCATATGTTGGGATCAATGTTGATAAAGTGAGTAACTCTTGATGACTGGGGAACAAATCCTGTTTAAGTCATGTGGCTTCCAGTTCTTAGCCTAATTGAATTATCAGCTGACAGATAATGAAAACTCATTTTCAAAATCACTGTATGATTTTTGGTCTAGAACTCTGAATAGAGTTCAAAGACTGTTGTGACAAAGCTATAACAGAACACCTTTCATTCCCAACTATCTGTTTACGTTAAACAAGGTTTCTCAGTGCTTCCATCTCCAAAAAGGAACAAGAGAAAAAGGAAGAGAACTGGTGCTGAAACCTGATTTTAGCAATAAGCAATACTCATTTGTGGATACAAGGACAGCCTGAAAAGGTGCCATCTTTCTCAGTGAGATGAATTTCTCCAAAAAATAATACCTTTCAATGTTCAGTAATCAAAATTTATAGTATCCATCTTTTTTGATTAATTATATGCAATGAATTATTGTAATTATAATGAACCTAATCTAGGAAAAGGTATTTTAACATACTTATGGCTATAAAAAAATTTCTTTAAGGTTTCAATTTACACATACTTTTCAGCGGTCAACTTAAAGACTTTTAAGCCTAAAACTATATTTGGATAAAATTTGGGAGCTGACATGAATGAAAATAAAATTTTAGAGAGAAATGAGATTAAAGTGAAATTTCCAATGGTTAAAAGAAATGTATTTATGTATTTTGTAAGTCAGTATTGGTAGGCATAAAATCACCATGGTATTTAAATCCCATTGCTTAACGTTAAGTTAGAGATGTAATAGTTTTATTTTAAAATGTCTATAATATCCCACAAATGACAACTTTACGAACTATAAAACTTACAATGAAAAATTTTACACAACAGTTTAAAGTGTATGAAGAAGTAGAGTTCTTAATATAGACAGATAGAGAACTGGATCCAAAAATATCTGAGATCACTGATGCAGCAAGTGAGTAGTCTACTGGGGTGTTCTGAGATGTGACAACACACTCTGGACATTTTAAGTTTTCCAGATGCTCTGAGGACTCAATTTATCTGTTTAATAGTGCTGAGGTATCAGACACTGCAGCACTAATTTACTTATATTTTTCCACTATTTTAAAATAATATTCACTGAACCAGCTGGTTAAGTACACGAGTTTAAATGATCCCACTACAACTTTGCGTCTCGGGGGAATACAGAATTGGCTGGCATCAAAGGAAAGCTGTGACCACATGTGAGAACAGTTTCTTATGTCCTTCCTGATTTTTTTCATTAATCATCTAACCATTGTTTCTCTGCTTTTCCTAAAACATTCTTCTTCTTCATTCTTTCTTTCCACTTGCCTTCTCATCAGAGGAAAGCATAATTAAACCAATTGAAAAACTATCATGCAATGAAAGTTTTCCTGAAAAATTAGAGGACTCACAAGGTAATTTCTGGCCATTGTAGATGAGTACAACTTGTTCTTTGAATATCTTGTCCAATTTTCTTTTCCACATTTGCCCTGAATCCTGTCATACAAGGCCACTATGAAGGCCAATCAAGGTTGCCTGCTTTTAGAAGTTAGATCAGAGCTGGGAGAAAGAAAAGCACTCCACGTCCTCAAGAACACCGTTCTTTAGCAGTCAGGATTCTAAACTAACTTGCTCTTAAAGCTCTAAGCTCATCTTCTTAAATTAATAATGACACTTTATATAAATGAAGCAAATCTACTGAGAGTAAAAATTAAAAGAATATTTTCTAATTTGTAATCAGTATTCCTGGAAAATCTTTTTTAAAGTTCTGAAACTCATTTCTTACGCATTAACAATCACTTAAAAGTTAACCAGGTTAATAGAAATGGTGGATTTCCTAGAGATTCACTGTTGCTGGTTTAAACAGTGCTAACTATTGGCTTCAGCCTGAAACTTTGAAGCTCACAAGGTACTTCTAAATAAGCCAAAATAATGAATTTTTTGTTCATTTTTCCTTGCAACTTTCTCCCTACAGCCCATTACCTGCTCAGCTCATGGCTTTTAGAATCTGACCTATCCCATCCCCATTCTGTCACTCAGTAGCCTTGTGATTGTGGACAAGTCAATTAGGCTCCCTAAGTCAGTTTCCCTGTGTAGCAAATGAAGGACATGATATTTACCAAGGTTATTACTATGTAGCCATCCCTAGGATTTTTGTCACCGTAAGCATGTAGCGTCTACTCTGAGGAGGCGGAGAGCCGGAGCTGCCGCTGAATGGGATCACTGCCGTGAACTGCCTTTCAAACATCTTTTGATGTAAAAGGCTGATGAGTGATTTAGAAATGGGTACTCAAGAGCTAAAAGAAAGGTCAAATTAGGCAGTTGTGCATATGCAGAATTCTGTAGTGCTAAAAACTGTACAAACCGACGTGTTCACTGTCTAAAGTCTCCCTTCTGCGGTGACACTGCTGCCTGGCATTTGTTGGTTCAAGAGCACACACTTACTGAGGGCCTCCTGTGCAGAGCGCTGTGAGAGACGTCAGAGACAAGAGGTTCAGAGGCCAGACGTGTGAACCAGTAGCGCTGTAAGAGATGCTTCAGTCATAGCTCACCATCACCGTCAGAGTCCTGGTCTACCTCCTTGCTGACAAATGTGTCTTCTTTCCTGCATAGGAAGGCTCCTTGAAAGAAAATTATATTCCTTTTCCTCTTATTTCCAGTTTGCTTCTCAGCTCACTGTGGTCTGTCCTCACCTGGACTCAGGCCACTGAAACCGCTCCTGCCAGGTCCTGACATGATCCTAGTGGCCAGATCCCCCAGCCAGGCTAATCCCATCAGATCGCTGCCTCCTTCGGTCTTCCTCCTTTCTTCACACACTGTGTGCTCCTGGACGTTCAGATCCTGCTCGTCCTATCATCGACCACCCTCTCTCTTCCCTCTCCTCTGCAGGTCCTCTTCTTTCCTGTCTCTTAATGCTGGTGTTCCCTGGGCCTCTGTTCTGGACCTTTGCATAGCCCACAAGCCCTCCGAGCTGGCTCCTCCAAGCCATAGCCCCGTAACCGCCATCCCTGGCTAATTCTGTCTCCAGGCCGGTTTAACCACAACTCCGGTATCCCACAGGCACCATATCTTTCCAACAAACCTGTTGCTGTTCTTAGTCACCTAAGATACAAACTGAGGGGTTTGTATTCCTCTTTCCCTACCCTGCCTACCCCATACACCCACTTAGTTCTCTTCTCCATTGCCTTTGTGACTCCCTTAGTTCAGACTCTCATTTCAGCTCGAGCAGTGACCTCCTGTCTTCTGCCTTTAGCTTTTCCCCCTTCAGCCCATCATCTACTGCCCCAAGGCCGATCATTCACTAACAGTGATGAGGATGAGGTTGATGACAGCTGACATTTACTGAACACCAGATTCTATGCTAAGTGCTTTGCATACATTTCATTCACTCTCTACAGCAACCCTATGAGAACAGGTACAGTTACTATAGTGATTTTACAGAATGAAGAAAAGCAGAGAGCACAGGAGGGCCGGGGGCCTCCTGGCAGGAAACACACTCAGGTTAAGAAAGAAGTCATAAAAAAAAAAAACAACAAAAAAAAACCTGGTATGTTCAGGGCAGACAGCCTTGGGTTCACATTCTAGCTTGGTCACTTACGGTGATCATTTAAGCAGGTTCTAAGAGCCACAACGTGTGGATAAAATAGGCATGTGAAGGGGCATTATACGGACTCAGCAGGATTATCTGTAAAGCTATTGTGCAGCGCTTGAAATAGAGTCAATACTCGAAAAACGGAATCCAGAATTGGGAGGGGTGTAGTATTCGTTACTCCCTGGTGCTTTAAAATATTCACCTTCTGACTATGAAACTTTATGATGCGTCACCAGGAAATCTTGGAAGCTATGCTACTTACAATCAGTCAGGATATATTCCTTCCTTTCTCAAAAAAGAAGTGGGCTCAGCTGGCCAGAGGATACACTTAGCACCTCTCACTGCAACAACATCAGGTAAGAACGACTTTACATAGTTTTTGAGATTTCTGATCAGAAAGGAGCTCTTTTGAAGTTTATACCATCACTTGCCCCAAGTGAAGACTCTTAAATCAGTCTCATTAACACAGTTCTAATCGTTTTTGGCAAAATGTCCTTTCTTCTTCTGAAGCTGTGGTCTGAGGGTCTGTCCTAAGTGCTCCCTCTGCCTAAATGGCTCCTCTCTGCCAGGCGCACATTATGCCGTTTACTCTTCACAAGACTGGACGAGGGAGCCCTTCTACAGAGGAGGAAACTGACATGAAGCAGTTTACCTAGGGTCACACAGCTGGTCAACGGTGCGGCCGGGACAGCAACTGGGTCTGGGTAATTCCAAGGAACATGCTGTGCTAGCCAACGAGACGGAAGGTGGCATCCTTCAGAGCTTCCCACCTGGCACCTAGCCCAGAGGGGAAGTTTAACCAATGCTGAGACACTGTCCGTGTGCCATTTCCTCTGCAGTTCCACTGTACTGAACCGAATGGTGGCCGGACTTCCACACCACACTGGCTTTGCAACAGTGAGTGGTGAAGGGTTGATTCCTCGGTAGCGTGGCAGGACAGCCACGTTCAGGGGTATGCCCTCGATCATCAGGGTCGTGATTCTCCCATCCAAGTACTAACCAGGCCCGACCCTGCTTAGCTTCCAAGATTAGACGAGATGGGGTGCGTTCAGGGTGGTATGGCCAGAGACCAGGGTCATGATTCTGTACTTGAGCTTGACTAGATCTGGCTGTTCACAATAATTCTCGAAATTATTCTAATCTAAAATAGAGGTCCTCATGAAAGTGCCTAAAGGCGAAGGCAGATAGAAGTTTGGTAAGATACAAAGTTGTAGTGTAATAGCGAAGTTCACTTGAAAAGTAATCTTGGGTTGTGTCCTAGCCAGGGGCTTATGTTAGAACTCCTGATCCAAGCTGCCAGTCTTTAAAGGTCACACTGTTGGAGCTAAACTGTAAAAAGCACTGGACGTCTATAATTTACTCTCCCTTAACACAGAGTAGAAATAAATAGTACTTAGTTACCTTATCTGTGAAGAATTGCTTCCTTATCCCTCTGCTGAAACAAAATATGTTAAGTGAACACTCGATATACAGCTATGTTGTTGTTGCTTTTTTTGTTCAAAGCCTCAGGTATTTTAAGCCAACCTTATGGTAAGTCACCAGCCATGGCTTAATAGCAATTTTAAAATAAAAGCAGAAAATCATAATGTATCAAATTATTTTGTTATCTGAGTACCTGCTCTTACAAAGTGAAAGTAGGTGTCTTTAAGACTATTTTTAGGGACGCCTGGGTAGCTTAGTGGGTTAAGCGTCAGCCTTCGGCTCAAGTCATGATCCCAGGGTCCTGGGATGGAGTCCCGCATGGGCTCCTTGCTCGGCAGGGAACCTGCTTCTCTCTCCGCCTCTGCCTGCTTGTGTGCTCTCTCTCTCTCTCCTTCTCTCTGACAAATAAATAAATAAAATATTTTTTTTTAAAAAGACTATTTTTATAAGATACTGAAGGCCTTTACATGTTAAGTATTCTGTCACATTAGCATGCATAGTCCTATCTACATTTTTTTTAGTAAATGCTCTCATAACTTTTTATCTCTTCATTTACTCTGCTCATCAGATTTTCCTACAGATGGTGGTAGGAGGATAGGTAAAAAAAAAGAAGTAAATATTAATCATTCTCGTGGTCAAGGCAAATGCTTAGGAAACCACTGTTCTGTAAGAGATGAGTCCTCCAGCACTCCCACCCGGGTGGCAGTTTCCCACAAGAAAACAAAACCAGGTCATTACCTTTTTTACTCAACTATTTCCCCTTCTCATGTAGCCTGCCTCCCTCTCTGCTCCTCCTTGTCCTCACTCTCATGTTTTGAGAAGAAAATGCAAATTAATTGCTTCCAGCTTTCCCATGTAATCTCTCATCCCAGACTTCCTAACGCCGCCACCTCCCCTTGCTCTGATGGTAACAAGGACTTTAAGGAGGGACTTCTTTCCTGGACAGCCACCCTTTACAAGGGCAGGGAGGACCCTGATCTAAGTGCACTTCATTCATTAACTTGACTACGGAAAGTACTATTATCATGATCTGTTTTAGAGGTTCTGCTTCTTGCTAAAAGTGACACAGTGGTGGCACTGATTAAATTCTTAACTACAGGTGAACATCTTTCCTTCAGCACACATTATTTTTACAAGAAGTTAAATGCCCCTGATAGGACACATGTGGTTCTTAAATGCACAGCAAACCTTAGAGGCTTCTCTGCCCTATGCTCAGGACTTCCGGGTCTGGTCTGGCAAAGACACAAAAGCATTTCCTGCCCTCCCACGAGATCTCGGATCCTTTGTTAGGGCCTAAGTTCTTCAGCAACAGGTGCTTGAATCCTAAAACTATTATCTTTCAGATAGGAATCTAAATGTCAACACTATATACTTCTTGGCAAAACAATCCCCTCTTCCAAGAAGGTTTCAAAAGTATCTGCCTGGACAGGGTTTCAAATTCATTTAGGACTTGACGCAGCTATGTCATGACCTGGAGAAAAAGCTGTTACTCCCCAAATCCCTCATTTTGTACCCCAAGGGCCTCACCCTATTAGCCGAAGGGTTTCTCTGAATCACCAGGGCTTATGGCCTGTCTCTCTCCCCTCCTACCCTCCCCACCAGTGCTATCATCCATGCCCAGTACCATTTTGGCCTATAGACCTCAGGTTTGGGTTCACAAATTTAACACAATGGCGCTTTTCTACACTCCCGTGGGTTAGAAGTAAAGGGCCATTCCTGGAAAACTTGGTTAGTGGTTTCATCAGTTTTTCCTTAACAGTTAAGGGTTGATTGGCTCTTCTAAACACTCTGTCCCTGCTTCATTAGGTAGCTTTCTATTAGCTTCAACCCAGAGAACTTTAAACCTGGTAAGAGTGAGAGGACAGGACAGGGTGTTCCCTGGGCAGTTCCTCACTTAATGCTATTCCCCGTTGAGCGGAGGTCAGAGGGACAATGGACCCATACTGCTCCTATAATGTTCCCTCTACTACCAGGTTTAGAGAAAGTATAGATATAAGCAACAACAAAAACAGGGAAACCATGTACGTGAATATGGTATAGTGCTAGGTGTACAAAAGGGTTAGACTCATTTCAAAATTGACACTTAGGAGTTTAATCCAAGTGCGACAGCCACCACACAGTGTGAAGATACTTAAATCTCAAATGGACAGATCAAACATCCTTTTGAGAGCTGAGAACACCTGACAATCCGCTGTAAATGTGAAGTGAGGGCGGGTGAGTGAAGGACTGGGGACGAGATTGAAGTTCTCTACAAAATGATTTACTGCTTTGTCACTGAGATGTTTAAGCGAGTTTAGCTTGTAAATTGTTCAGGTAACAACAAATATTTAACAAATTAAAATTGCACGAAGGTTTGGGATCTTAGGAATGGCTCACCTTTTAAAGGAATTGTTTTCATCCATCATTTTCCCAATTAAAAAAGTTTCTTGCCTCTAAAGACCCCATTTTCATGTTTAAAAGAAATCTACAATGCGATCCCATCCCTGTAGCTCCATGAAGCCAGAGACTTAGAGGATTCATAATTACAAATAAATTTTCTGTAGTGGGTATTACATTTGAGTATTAGTCAGATGTAACCACTGTGTGACTTTACAAAGTCACTGGCACTGTGGGTACTACCTGTTGAACCTGACCCAGAATTTCTTGGTCATCCTGGTTGATGTTGCCTACCTAAATGTGTTAAGGCATTTGAGTAAACCCAAAAAAGAAGCGGCAGCAGTATCAGAACTGTAAACCAGAAATATTGGCTCTTAAGCTACTAAGAATTCTGTATCAACAGCAGAGTATACTAGAATTTTTAGTTGTGATATTTAGAAAAAAATATTAGAGACCACTGAACTAATCTTTTAAAGATAAACTCTGGATTCCCCCATCAAATAAAAAAGATAAATTCCCTGATTTTAAATTTGTTAATGAAATGAATAAAATTCCAACTTCCAATTCTTATTTCTTCCAGAATATACCTGGAACACAAAACCTGGTCGGGGGCAGTTTTCAGGACGTACTTACAATCCTACGGCCAAGAATCTAAATATTGTGAACCGTGCACAGCCGGTTCCCTCGGTGCATGGAAGGACAGACTGGGTGGCCAAGTATGGCGGCCACCGGTAGGAGTCTCGTGTGAAGCCCCGCAGCACTGCTCCAAGGAGCCCTGCAAGTCCCCTGACCCTAGGAAATGTCTACAGATGTCATGTCTATTTCTACTGAGTTCTGGAAGGAATATGCAGTAGTGGGTACTTTGAAGAGCAAAAACCATCTCCTATTTTCTTTCCTAGAAATGAAATGCATATTCTTAGCATTGGTTGCCCACAGTGCTCATATACGGGTAGGACTTTACAAAGTATTGAATAAAGTATTTGCCAAAGTATCAAGTATTTGATCTACAAATTAATAGTTACTAAGTATGGTAAGAATCCTTTTTTTTTTTTTAAAAAAGGCCTTCAGAAAGTGTTTAGAGTGTTTCATCTGTTTTTGCTAAACTAATTTAAAATTTCCTCAGTTGGCCTCAAAGGATTTTTTTTTAATAGCAATTAGGTGGACTTCTGTGGGCTGTCAGTTATGGTTCTTATCTGGCTAAGGCTCTACCCTACCAGTCTGGCAATGGCAAAAGACGCTCATTTATCATATGCTTTTCTACTTTGAAATTATGGAAGCGATGGTTAATTCCATCTTGAGCAGGATATCTTTCCTAGGAATAAATTTACCTTTAATAACAAAGATCTCAAAATTATGTCACCCAATTTTAGTGGAGAGTCTGTTGTTTGATTTTGACCAACACAACTCCTATGAACTCATGGTGACTATCAAACCCAATGGCTTGAAGACTCCCAGATCAACCAAGTCAAGGTTCTCTCATCTTCACATCATTAAGAACGTTCTTGAAACTGTGATGTATGTTCACCATACTTTGAAAGCTTTTTTCATATATTTCATATATTCATATATATTTGAAAGTTCACTTTCAAAATACTTTGCTTCCATGTTCCTACTAGACACAAAAATGAGGTGGGCCAGCTTGTCCCCCGAAGCAAACTGCTGCTGCTGCAGATCACTGACCTGGCTCTGACCTTGACATTAACTCTGAGGAGCAAATGCATTCAGTTGCTATAGCGGTGATTTCACTTAGTACAATTTTGTTTTCCCTTTAGTTTCTAAACTGGTACTTAAAATACACATTTTGAACTCGGGACTACTCTATTTAAACCTGCCATTTTATGGACTGGACATTAGTACTGTATATTCTTTTTAAAGAATAATAATGTTATTATTATTTATGTATTTTCTGACTTTGTAACAAATCCTAATGTAATTGGTATCATCTTGTGGACGTTATCCAAAGACATCATAAAATGACAGTAATATGGTTATTTTTGTATAGAAGATGCAGCTCACCTTGTTGAAAAATGTTAAAATCTGAAGAGTTATTTATGTTGATGGTAATGGTTATATATATTTGTACAGTTCTAATTAATGTCTCAAAGCTAAAAAATTATTTTGTGTTACTGGGAAGCTTTTATACTTCTCAAGAGATATTAAAATAAATATGGTTAACTGGTATGTTTTCTTTATACTTTTAAAAACTTTATACTTATACTCTGAGGGCTATATGTCATTTTCATTATTGACTTTTGTTTTTCTAGCAGTTTTAGGTTTATGGAAAAATTCTCTGCAAAGTACAGAGTTTCCATATACCCCCCTTCAGGCCCCTCCCCAAATTTTCCCTATTATTAACATCTTGCACTAGTGTGGGACATTTGCTGGAACTGATGAGCCAGTATCAGTACAACTTTAGTTCACAGTTGACAGTAAGGTTCATGCTTTGTGTTGTATATTCTGTGGGTTTTGACAAAATACATGGCATGTATCCACCATTACAGTATCCTAGAAATTAGTTTCATTGTCCTAAAAATCCCATGTTCCACCCATTCATCCTTCTCTCCCACCCCCCAAACCTTTAACAACCCACCAATCTTTTCATCTCCACTGGGCTCCTGTTCCAGAATGTCACATAGCTGGAATCATACACCAGCTTCTTTCATTTAGCAAGACGCATTTAAGTTTTTTCCACGTCTTTTCTTAGCTCGATAGCTCATGTCTGTTTATTTCTAACTAGTATTTCATGGTATATATGCACCACAGTTTGTTTATCCATTCACCCACTGAAGAACACCTTGTTTTGAAGTCTGGGCAATTATGAATAAAGCCGCTCACCCCAGTAGCAATCTAGCATCCAGATCTTGAATTCTAGTACCACCGTCCAGTAAAAGGAACCAGGGCTTTCTGGAGAGATGGCTGCTTCTAGTACTGAGCGTGAAATAAACAAGCTGATACTGGAGATCTTATAGTGTCAGAAAGTACAAAAAACAAAACCAAAAAGCCAACAAGCAGAAGCAGCCCACACTGATAGTCTAGGTAAAAGACAGAGGAGCTCCTAACGGAAGAGCTTCTAATGGCCCAAACTGCAACAATTTGAGAAAGAAAATGAAGAAGTAATTGTATTATAACCCAAAGTGGGAAATACATATCCTGGAGTCCATACTGATATAAATAAGTAAATAACTGAGTAGGGAAAAGAGACAAATCTCCTATGCAGAATCCCAAATAATTTATACACTCTGCCCTCAAGGAGGAAGAGTTCAACTCCCTAGTCCTTAAGTACAGAATGTGCACAGTGACTTCCTTTCAAAGAGTACAGTATGGGAAGGGGGGGAGAGGAATAACTTCACAGTGGGGAAGTCTGAATACTACCTGAAGCCAGATGATCAAGGTCAACAGCAATAATACCTCGGTCATATGTGTCACCTTAATATTCTGTGATGAAAACAGCATTTTAACTCTGTGGTCTTCCTCCTACAATTTCCTAACTCCAGACTAACCATAAGGGAAACACTAGACAAATTCTAACAGAAAAGCATTCTACGAAAGACGTGGTCTGTACTCCTCAAAACTATCAGAGTCATCAAAAACAAGGCAAATCTGAGAAACAGTCATAGCCAAGAGAGCTTAAGGAGACATGACATGTAATTGTAACATGGGATCTTAGGTGAGATCCCATAAAAGAAAAACAGTATCAGTTTTTAAGAACTTAGAAAATCTGAATAAAATACGGACTTCAATTAATTTACCAATATTGATTCATAAGTTCTAACAATTATTTCATGCTAAACTAAGGTATTAATGATAGGGAAAACTAGGTGTGGGGTATGTGGGAACTCTGTACTGTCTTCTCAAAATGGTCCTAAAAAGTGTATTTTTAAAAAGAAGATTTGATCAATTTATAAATCCAGCAATATTTACTAAATGCCTACTAAGTACTAAGTATAGTATATATAGTAGTGACAAAATGTCATTTTCTCTGACCTCATAGAACAAATATTCTGGAGGTAGACATTAAACAAACACATATGACATTGTATACTGGCAAAGTATGATGGGGTTAAGAAAAAAAAAGCAGGACATTAGGGAGACTAAAGAAGAAATCTAAATGTTGAGAGACAACTGAATGGTTTTAAGTGTAAGAGTCAAAATATACTTGAAATATGCCTCACCTGCTGGGTAGAGAAAGAATTGTTGAGCCAAACCATGAAAACAAGGAGTCCTACTAGAAAATTAAAAAATGGTGAGGCTTAGACTTATGTATTGGCAATTATATGGAGCAGAGTAAGTATGACTGTTAATAGAAAGCTACTGGGTCTTAGTGTTACTCTTTCTTGCTGCTTTACAGAACTTTCTTCAGTATGCTTTTAACTGCTTGTCTTGGGTTTTCTAGATAGATAAATATATTAACTGTTTAAAATGTTTAATTTCTTGATTTTTCCAGCATTTATACTTATTTATTTCTCATGTTTTATTGTTTTGTCTGGTGTCTCTAGAACAATGTTGATCTTGTCGGTAGCAGCAAATATATGATTATTTTTAACTTTAACATAAAGCCACAAGACTAAATAAATGGTAGCTAATAAGAACCTAAGGCACATAATATGCTCTTGTGAGTCAAAAAGTACTTATATTACTGTCAAATTAAATTTGCTCAGACTGTTACCTAATTTAAAAATACGTATGAAAAAGGTTCCATTCATCATAGTAACAAAAGCTCAAATACCCTACAATCTTAACAGAAATACAAAAAACTAAATGAATGTAACTCTAAAATATGAAGACATTAGAAACAAAACTAACAACCAGAAAACAATGTACAAAATGGTAACAAGGATGTATCAATAATTACTTTAAGTTACTTTAATTGGCCTTAATGCTCCAATCAAAACACACAGGGTGAAAAGATTTAAAACAACAACAACAACAACAACAACAAAAACCACACAGGGTGGCTGAATGGATTAAAAAAAAAAAAAAACCAAGACCCATCATACTGTCTACAAGAGACTCAGTTCAGATCTAAAGACACATGCAGACTTAAAGTGGAGATGGAAAAGATATTCCATGCAAATGGAAAGAAAAAGCTAGAGTAGCAATACCTACCAGACAAAACTTTTAAAGCAAAGACTGCAACAAGTGTTATTACATAATGATAAAAGGGTCAATCCAAGAAGAGGATAGAACATTTGCAAATATTTACATACCTAACACAGGAGTACCTAAATATGTAAAGCAAATATTTTAACAGACATAAAGAGGGAAACTAACAATAATACAGTAATAATGGAAGACTTTAATATCCCACTTACATTAACAGATTATCAAGACAAAAAAGTCAAAAGTAAATAAGGAAAAACTGTCCTTAAGTGACAGATCAAACCAAAGAGACTTATTAGATATACACAGAACATTTAATCTTCAAGCTGCAGAATACACATTCTTTTCAAGTGCACATTAAACATTCTCCAGGATCACAGGAGGATCTCATGAGACCACAAAACAAGTCTCAATAAATTTAAGACTTAAATCATATCAAACATCTTTTCTAAGCACAATGAAGCTAGAAATCAATTATAAAAATAAAATTGAAAACAGGGGTGCCTGGGTGGCTCAGTGGGTTAAGCCTCTGCCTTCAGCTCAGGTCATGATCTCAGGGTCCTGGGATCGAGCCCCACATCGGGCTCTCTGCTCAGCAGGGAGCCTGCTTTCCCCTCTCTCTGCCTGCCTCTCTGCCTACTTGTGATCTCTGTCAAATAAATAAAATCTTTTAAAAAAATAAATAAATAAAATTGAAAACAAAAAACCCACCAGACATGGAGACTAAACAGTATGCTACTAACCAACCAATGGGTCAACAGAAAAAGAGAAAATCAAAAAATACCTTAAGACAAATGAAAATGGAAACCAGACTTTCCAAAATGTACGGGACACAGGAAAAGCAATTTTAAGAGAAAAGTTTATAAAAATAAGCAAGAAATAAAAACCTCAAATAAATAATCTAACTTTACACCTAGAAAAAGAAAACAACAAAAAAGCCCAAAGTTAG